AACTATCGCGCCTCGACATGGCGTAGCTAGAAGAACACCCGATCCGTAGCTGAGGTGGGTTGGCGGTTGCCACGCTGTGATGGTTGGGGTCTCCCGATGCGGCGAGGGGCTGGCGTGGGGCCGAGCATAGGATGCCAGGACAGGTGGTGTCGGAAAGGAGAGAGGCGCAGGTGTGTGCGCCAAATTTGTGATGCGATGGGTGTGTTGAGTGTGGAGCGTCGGTGTCGTCTAGTGGTTAGGACGTGAGCTTAACACGCTCAAGATCGAGGGTTCGATCCCCTCCTCCGATATCTTCTTGGCTTTTGCCGCTTCGTCCACACAGAGCCACTTTTCGAGACGCCTGCACATGCTGCCGCCATTCCTCCTCCTGCTATCGCGTCGTGGTCGAGCGGTAGCGCGGTGCTGTCGACGAAGCTAGTTGTTCGCAACCTCGTTGGCACAGATAATGAAAAAAAGAGCAGCGGCAGTGCTAGGTCGGGTGCAGAGCATTGGTTGAAGTTGGTGAGGGGTATGGCGATGATGAGACGGGTGAGAGGGAGGGAAGGCAGGTAGCAAAGGATGCTGCCTGGTCCGTCGCGGTATATGTTGTGTAGTCGCTTGTTTATGGTGGATGTGTTGATTGACTGAAATGGATTGTATTTCTAACGACAGCTTGGCCGAGTGGTTAAGGCGATAGACTAGAAATCTATTGGGGTAACCCGCGTGAGTTCAAATCTCACAGCTGTCGGATCCATATTGCCTTGCGTTTTTGTATCATCACCTTTTCGACATCACTGACTTTCACGTTGCTGTTGGTGCCTCCCTTGCTCTTCATGTACGTGAAGTGCTGCTGCTGCGTCTGTCCACCCCAACCGATTTCAAGATAACGCTTTCTATGACCACAGCTCGGTCCTATGCATTCGTCGATATTTTACTACTGAAGGGACGCCGTATGCGCCCTTGTTTGTGTATGGACCGCACCTGAGACGCAGGCATGCGTCAGGAGCCAAATGGACTCTGGTTTGAGTAACTATCGCGCCTCGACATGGCGTAGCTAGAAGAACACCCGATCCGTAGCTGAGGTGAGTTGGCGGTTGCCACGCTGTGATGGTTGGGGTCTCCCGATGCGGCGAGGGGCTGGCGTTGGGCCGCGCATAGGATACCAGGACAAGTGGTGTCGTAAAGGAGAGAGGCGTAGGTGTGTGCGCCAAATTTACGATACGACGGGTGTGTTGAGCGTGGAGCGTCGGTGCCGTCTAGTGGTTAGGACGTGAGCTTAGGCCCGTTCTCAACCGGGGTGGACGCATGCGTTTTCGGACACTTTGGGATCTGATTGGCTAGATGGGTATAACAAAAAAGGTGCCCATATTAGAATCCACACGCATGCGTTTGCCGTGCGTTTTCCGATTTAGACCAATAACATGTTGCTTTTATTTCTTACGTTTAACCGCTAAGCTCGAAATTCAGATGCCACTTGTCCCGCTCCCATCGACAGGACGCGTATCTGATTTCGTCCCCACCGTATTTCGCAGCAGCGGTACGTCCCTACAGCTCGACAACGACGTCGGTGGAAAGACGACGACACCTTGTGCGGTCTTCTCGTCTGTATGGCTGTCTTCAAGCGCCATCGATCACATAGGAAGGTAGATCCTGTTGTTCGTGAGCGCATTTCATGGCGAGTCCATGCCACCACGCTTTTGAAAGAGTCTGCGTTCAAGAAGTACTACAGGATGAGCTTGTCTACTTTCGAGGAATTACTATGTGTTTTGGGACCCTATTTGGTAGTCGACTATTACCAGTCGCTACGCCGTTCTCGCGGTGTCCCTCCACTCACGCCAGCTGTAATGCTACAATGCGCGCTCTCATGGCTAGCAGGGGGGAGTCATCACCACATCATTGTCATTACCAGATGTAGTACTGCTACATTCTACCGTGTTGTGTATCGTGTGATGTACGCTATCAACGATACTGACGCTCTAGCGCCTCAATTTTCAAAAACGGTGGATGATATGAAGCGAGTTGCGAGCGAATTTCAGTCTCTCAGCAATCGAGGTGTTATTGATGATTGCATTGGTGTGATTAACGGGTGGCTTTGCCCAATACGCGTTCCTCGTCAAGATGACTGCGGTCGCGTACTATCGTTTTTCTTCGGACACTATCAGAAATATGGACTGAATATCCAAGCTTGTGCAGACTCTCTTTCTCGATTTACTGCGTTTTCGATCAACTCACCTGGTGGAATAAATGATTCGTACGCTTTCCAGCGTTGGTAACTAAGCAATATATAACAAGAGGTCTCAGGCAACTACGTCGTCATCGGCGATAATGCTTATGTCCAAAGTAAGCGTGTAATGACTCCTTTTAATAAGACGCAGTTGGTAGACAGACGAGACCGTGACAACTACAATTTTCATATAAGCCAGCTACGAATTCGTATTGAAATGGCTTTTGGACTTCTCGTGACAAGTGGGGAATTCTAAAGCAGCCACTTCATGTTTGCCTTCGTCATTGTCGCGTTATTATTTTATCATGTATGAGGCTACACAATTTCTGCATTACCCAGCGTTGTGCATCTTCCGCCAAACCACCTGATCAAGTCTTGGGGGCAATAGTTCGGGAAGTAAGGTCGTAGAATGATCAGGAGCCATTCACATACGATTCGTCGGAAGTTGAGCTAGAAAATGGCACCCACGTCGATTTGCTGGACGAAAGGGCTCTTCCGAATTAGTCAATCGCATTTCAAGACATAATTTGCATCGTCCCCAGCGAAATTTACTGAGAAATAAAGGCCGTATTAATGCAGCAATGACCACTGCCCAGCAAGTACCGACGGAAGCAGAAATGATCAGTGTTTCATCAGCACCAGGGCCCTCTCGACCTGATCAAGACAACACAAATGATGATGCACATGGCACAGCTAGTATCTTGCAGTGGCAAGTGGTGTAACAAAATGAGTTCATCAGCGGGTTATTAAGCCGTCGTCAAGCTTTTTCTATTTTTCGTCTGACGTCGTTCCACACGAGAAAGCGGCAACGGTTGCTGCTAACAAAGTAAAATACAAGCCACGTCCAGCGCCTGAGTGTAACTTAGTGAGTCTTTCTCCAGTCGCAGTGATCGCCAATTACCGACGGTTCAGATATGGGAGGCGCTTCAAGATGCGTCTACCATTTTAGGTCTGTGCGCACGCGCTGCTAAGATTTGTTTTGGTTTTTGCCTCCAAGCACCACTTTACCAGGACCATCACTTCGTCCCGCTCCATCAAGCTTCAATCTACAAATCAATTGTCGGCATGTCGTTAGTGACCTTCTCGGCGAGCGCGGTACCGGCCGCCTGTGCTGTGTTCCGTGGACGCAGACACAGACAACTCCTCTCGTGGCACGTTGGTGCTGACCGATAGCACTACGTACGCCTATTTCTCGTTCAGGCTAGACAAGAGCATCTCGGCCGAGGTAGTGTTCAGCGCGGGTATGGTGGGGCTCTGTCCGATCCGTCGTAGCGCGGCCAGATCCTTGTGCTGACGTATTCCCTTATTGGCAGCTACGGCGTACCCGACATCGACGTCAAGGGTGCGTTCAACCTGCCCAAGTCCTTCGAGTCAGGAACAGTACAGAACCCGGGTTTCAGTGTGTCCAAGTACTCGCATGATCACGAAGCGTGTCTGCCGTGCTGGGCAAGGTCGTGTTCGAGGGCCAAACCACTGAGATCGTGGAGCCCAACAAGGCGAACCTCGTGGCCGAAGTGACCGTCGAGGAAGTGACTGTGTACAACAAGGGCGCTTCTCCCAAGTTCGTATCCTTCCGCTGCGGAATGAAGAACTACATCGTGCGGTACTTGACCTACATGGAAGTGGAGCTCACGGTCGTGCCCTACGACTACAACCTGCCCGATAGCGAGCTGCCGTACGAAGGTTTCTCCATCAATAACGATCTGCTTACCCGACTGTAAGACCATCGACAGCATCCGTTGGGCCTTCAACCAAGAGAGCATCTAGCCTAAAATTCGGTATCTATCTGGGTAACCAGAACCGAGCTCTGGTCGCCGGTGTCATCACGGACAAGTTGAAGTACGGCTATTGCGGTATGAACCAGTCCTGCATCGACATTCGCTCTACACGCTGCTGCGTCACGCCGCAGAATCACGAATACTCGAACTCGAACTCGAGCACTCTGTCTGAGGGCTAGAAGACCCTCTCAATTAGCGCCAGCGACAAGTCGAACAAGAGTATTATCCACGAACACAAGTCTTTCTTCTCGGCGCAGCTCCACCTGGAGGCATGTGGTGCCCCCACGAACACGGGCTTCCTCTTCGACCTGCTCTTGGAAAATGTCAACAGCGCTCCACCTATGTGCACATTCATGGACACGACCGCCCAGCGTTTCGTTCTGGTGGTCTGTCGATCGATCAGGCTGGTGAGCTCGACTACTCTAGCCAGGCCATCGTTGCTGTGCGTGAGGAAGGCGTTCACGTCGTACATCGCCACGGGGCAGCCATCTCAGGTTCTGGTCGACAACTTCCACTTCGTGCCGGCACGTGCCGAGGCAATGCTGGAGAGCGTCACGAAGGAGTAGCTGGTTGGAGTCCTGGTAAGTGTGGGTGACCAGACGGCCCTGTCCGTCGGTATCGAGCTATACCTGAACGGCGACCTGGAACGTTACAACGTCCGCGTCATGGGCACGTTGTTCGAGGCGGCTGAGTTGCTGTCCCCGATGAACTACCTGTACATGACGTACGGCGACTTGGAGGACGACATCCCGACGAGCGAGGAGGCCATCACGGTGCTCGGCAGTGGCACACACCGCAACCTTTCGTTTGTGAAAATAGATTGGTGTGTCGTGAGTGCTGTGCGTACGTGGGCAAACCGGCGATCGTGGTCAGCTGCTTGAGCTGGAGAGAGCGGCCTGGTGAAGAGCTCACCGCACTAACCAGGAAAAGACAGTGATGCAGGTTTTAACGATGAAACTAAGCGTAACGAGGAGGTTGAGCTCCGGTCGAAGCTACAGTAATTTTACAAATCGCTTATGTTATACAAGGTATGACAGCAAACAAACTAAAGCCAAAATTTCTACCTTGGTCCAGTACCACAAATAAAGCACATCCGCTTTGCCATGCTAAACTTCATAAATTCCTGATCGTGGGTCCCGGATAGACGAAAGTTGGCTTCGGAATACTGAAGAAGGACGTCAGCTCCTTCCAAAGTTCTTCCAACTTTGCGGCATTATGCGGTACAATGGTTCCCTCGGTGATTTCCACGAAGTCGACGTCGTCAGCGATCAGTCCACTATATTTCTCGTCATTCTCTTCGTACGCTGTTTCAACATCGCGCCAGAAAAGAGATTTCTCAGAAAACTGGGGGTCGTCTAAATCAGCTCGATCAAAGTTCTTTCCTACAAATACAACAAAATAGTCAATTGCATGGAAATACATCCATCATGATTCATACCAGTAACTTCAACAAGTCTTGTCACCATATCCTTGGACAGCACGACATTCGCTAAGCGGAACATGCAGTGCTTGGTACGACGGATGTTGCCAGAAGCCATTGTCGATGCAGATGTAGGGCCTTCGCCCCTGTTTACCAGCTCATCATACCGGCGGAGGCCCTTTATGCGATCGGCCTTATTTGTCCGCGTGTTAAGCTTGATCTCTCGTATGGTGTATTCCTTGCGAATGAGATCCTGTGGCATTTTCTCGTACGGCTCCCACGCAAAATGCCCTTCAGTTAGTGAGCCACTTAGAATGGTAGGGACGGTATCAATCCTTTCTGCATCTCTCGCCCTTATTTGTGCTGCGTCAGAATCGCTTGAAGCTGGACAAACGGAAGATAGGGCATCGGACTCAGCGTTTTCCATAACGTAATTAGAGCGGTTACCGTGAATTGTGACAGCGACCACCCCATTGGTTGGTAATGCTGTAATTAAAGGTGCCACCGTAGCAAGCTCCGCCGCGAGACGGCGAGCCACTGGAACTTCTCGGGTCGGGATCTTCTCAGCTTCCATTATTTTGTTGGAAGGGGGAAATGCGGATCTACAGAATAAACAACGTATTTTACTGGCCAATATTTTTTTTGTTGCACCAATAAATGTCGTTCAGTTTCATTCTCAACCGAGCACACGGGGTAGGGTACGCGTGCAACGCATGCGTCGAGAAAACCGCTTCGGTAGAGAACGGGCCTAAACACGCTCAAGATCGAGGGTTCGATTCCCTCCTCCGATATCTTCTTGGCTTTTGCCGCTTCGTCCACACAGAGCCACTTTTCGAGACGCCTGCACATGCTGCCGCCATTCCTCCTCCTGCTATCGCGTCGTGGTCGAACGGTAGCGCGGTGCTGTCGACGAAGCTAGTTGTTCGCAGCCTCGTTGGCACAGATAATGAAAAAAAGAGCAGCGGCAGTGCTAGGTCGGGTGCAGAGCATTGGTTGAAGTTGGTGAGGGGTATGGCGATGATGAGACGGGTGAGAGGGAGAGAAGACAGGTAGCAAAGGATGCTGCCTGGTCCGTCGCGGTATATGTTGTGTAGTCGCTTGTTTATGGTGGATGTGTTGATTGACTGAAATTGATTGTATTTCTAACGACAGCTTGGCCGAGTGGTTAAGGCGATAGACTAGAAATCTATTGGGGTAACCCGCGTGAGTTCAAATCTCACAGCTGTCGGATCCATATTGCCTTGCGTTTTTGTATCATCACCTTTTCGACATCACTGCCTTTCACGTCGCTGTTGGTGCCTCCCTTGGTCTTCATGTACGTGAAGTGCTGCTGCTGCGTCTGTCCACCCCAACCGATTTCAAGATAACGCTTTCTATGACCACAGCTCGGTCCTATGCATTCGTCGATATTTTACTACTGAAGGGACGCCGTATGCGCCCTTGTTTGTGTATGGACCGCACCTGAGACGCAAGCATGCGCCAGTAGCCAAATGGACTCTGGTTTGAGTAACTATCGCGCCTCGACATGGCGTAGCTAGAAGTACACCCGATCCGTAGCTGAGGCGGGTTGGCGGCTGCCACGCTGTGGTGGTTGGGGTCTCCCGATGCGGCGAGGGGCTGGCGTGGGGCCGATCATAGGATGCCAGGACAAGTGGTGTCGGAAAGGAGAGAGGCGCAGGTGTGTGCGCCAAATTTGTGATGCGATGGGTGTGCTGAGTGTGGAGCGTCGGTGTCGTCTAGTGGTTAGGACGTGAGCTTAACACGCTCAAGATCGAGGGTTCGATCCCCTCCTCCGATATCTTCTTGGCTTTTGCCGCTTCGTCCACACAGAGCCACTTTTCGAGACGCCTGCACATGCTGCCGCCATTCCTCCTCCTGCTATCGCGTCGTGGTCGAACGGTAGCGCGGTGCTGTCGACGAAGCTAGTTGTTCGCAGCCTCGTTGGCACTGATAATGAATAAAAAGAGCAGCGGCAGTGCTAGGTCGGGTGCAGAGCATTGGTTGAAGTTGGTGAGGGGTATGCCGATGATGAGACGGGTGAGAAGGAGAGAAGACAGGTAGCAAAGGATGCTGCCTGGTCCGTCGCGGTATATGTTGTGTAGTCGCTTGTTTATGGTGGATGTGTTGATTGACTGAAATGGATTGTATTTCTAACGACAGCTTGGCCGAGTGGTTAAGGCGATAGACTAGAAATCTATTGGGGTAACCCGCGTGAGTTCAAATCTCACAGCTGTCGGATCCATATTGCCTTGCGTTTTGGTATCATCACCTTTTCGACATCACTGCCTTTCACGTCGCTGTTGGTGCCTCCCTTGGTCTTCATGTACGTGAAGTGCTGCTGCTGCGTCTGTCCACCCCAACCGATTTCAAGATAACGCTTTCTATGACCACAGCTCGGTCCTATGCATTCGTCGATATTTTACTACTGAAGGGACGCCGTATGCGCCCTTGTTTGTGTATGGACCGCACCTGAGACGCAAGCATGCGCCAGTAGCCAAATGGACTCTGGTTTGAGTAACTATCGCGCCTCGACATGGCGTAACTAGAAGTACACCCGATCCGTAGCTGAGGTGGGCCGGCGGTTGCCACGCTGTGATGGTTGGGGTCTCCCGATGCGGCGAGGGGCTGGCGTGGGGGCGCGCATAGGATGCCAGGACAAGTGGTGTCGGAAAGGAGAGAGGCGCAGGTGTGTGCGCCAAATTTGTGATGCGATGGGTGTGTTGAGTGTGGAGCGTCGGTGTCGTCTAGTGGTTAGGACGTGAGCTTAACACGCTCAAGATCGAGGGTTCGATCCCCTCCTCCGATATCTTCTTGTCTTTTGCCGCTTCGTCCGCACAGAACCACTTTTCGAGACGCCTGCACATGCTGCCGCCATTCCTCCTCCTGCTATCGCGTCGTGGTCGAGCGGTAGCGCGGTGCTGTCGACGAAGCTAGTTGTTCGCAACCTCGTTGGCACAGATAATGAAAAAAGAACAGCGGCAGTGCTAGGTCGGGTGCAGAGCACTGGTTAAAGTTGGTGAGGGGTATGGCGGTGATGAGACGGGTGAGAAGGAGAGAAGACAGGTAGCAAAGAATGCTACCTGGTCCGTCGCGGTATATGTTGTGTAGTCGCTTTGTGGTGTTGGAATTCCCACGTGAACGCTAGCTACAAATGTAGTTAGGACGTTCCCACAACAATACGTCTACTAGGATAGTAAACGGTTGTTCGGGCGGACCTGAAGACCCCAGTTCTGCCACTGCTTTTAAATTTTCACAAAGAAAAAGTTTTCGCCGGGACAAACAGGATCTTGTAAAATACTTATCTAGGCCAGCCAGTAAAAATAAGAACACGCTACTAGCACGAGCAAAGCTAGCAGGTGCTACTCCGTTGGCCGACTTGACGTCACCGCAGCGGCGTCGGCGTTATGCAAATTTAAAATCTCCAGCTGCTGCGGGTCCTCGTCATCGTTCGTCGGCGCCGCCTCAGCCGTACGCTTGTTCACTTCCCGGGGAAGAGGGACACGAGGCTGTCAGTGCACTTTTGCGTTCGAGTTCTCCTCAAGCCACCGTGTCCGATGGAGGGAAACCTCGCTGTGGTAAATCTCGTCGTCAGACTCGGCGGAAAAAAGCTTCGTCACCTTTAGTTGAGTTCTGCTACACAGCCAGCTGTCTCCGCTCACTCTGAAGACGAAGATGAAGCTTCGAGCGAAGCCGAATACGAGTTTGAGATGTCTGGGCCTGCCGACGACACCGTTCTTGCGTCTGATTCGACGACTCTGGTGAGTTCTTCGTCTTCTAGTCCTCTGTCGACGTCGTCAGTCGTGGTTACGCAACCATCGTTGGTGTCCTCATCTGATGCCATGCCTTCACTGCCTGTCCCGGCTACGATTGTTTGTGCCCCAGGCTCGACCTCACCTAGCTCAGCTGAGTTGCCCCAGTCAAGCGTGCCACTCAGCGTCGTATCGATGGAGGTTGGGCACTCCCGGTCTTCACCTGGTCCTCGATCTTCTCACGTCTCTCCCTCTCGAAGCATTAGCACATCCACTACACCGACCGACCTAGTGACTCCGGCCGTGAGTGTCCTCAGACCGTCTCTCCTTGCGAGCTCGGCTGTGTTGACGTCCCCTTCTGGGCGCTCCATCCGGGGATCTGCTGCGACTGCTCGTACTGTGACCGCTCAGCTGCTTGAGGACCTTGACGCGTCTGACGACGAGGTCTTAGGACCTGGCGACGGTTCTGCACCGTCCGCCAGCTCGACGAATCTTGCCGCTGGGTCGCTTTCGGACCTCATTTCTTTATCCGAGAACTCGGCGGATAGTACTTCGGGTTCCGACTCGGCGGCCGAAGATGCTCGTCGTTCTGCCAAGGCGAAAAGCCTTCATGCGGCCATCTTCGGATCTGACGATGAGATGAGTGATGAATCTTTACCGCCGAGTGATCGCCACTCTTCGCGGCATTCATCGATCGATTCTGGTGACGGGACGACGCCTTCTACCTCTGCGTCGGCTTCGGGGAAACAGCAACGTCGCAAGCGTCGTGCCTCGTCGAGTCCTACCGGTCACCGGTCGAAGATATCCAAGAAGCACCACAAGAAGCACCAACACCACAAGCATCGGCAGCCTGCGTCAACCCCTGACATGTCTCCACCCCAATCTCTTTCGGCTGCTCCTTAGCCGAGTGTGCCCCCGGTCGCGTCTGTTTCATCCCAGCCGGTTTCGACTGCGTCACGACCGGCTTCGGTCACTCTGCCAAGCGCTCTTATGCTCCCACTGACGACGTTACGGACCCGGTCCTCGCAAGCAGTTTTCAAGGACTGCCGCTTGGCCCTCCACATGGCTCAACTCCGCGAGGCGCCGTTTATGCATTTCGGCTCGACCCGTTGTTGGAATGCACTACTGGACGCACTGACCGGCGGAGTGCAGCTGGAGCTCGTAGGTGGCAAGAGTCGTGTGCCGCCCACATCGTGTTCTCTTGGCGGCATACGAGCTTTCATGGCTGTCTTCGATCCGAGTCATCCTTGTCAGCGTCTCTGGCGGATGCTCTCCGAGCTTCCTTTCTTCTTTTCTCCGTCAGTTCTGGAGGAGGCTCGATGCAGGTTCTTGGAGATACGTGGGTGAAGCTTCGTGGCGACAGTCCTTTGAACTCGGCGGGGCGGTCCATCACGACGGATGAACAAGTGACTCGTACTTCGTTGCTCTCTACGAGCGTCGCCACTGGATCGTCGAGTCAAGTGTGTTGATGGGCCTCCATCCCGACCTGAACCCGACCGTCACGCCTGCTCAGCTTGCTGAAGTGTATGAGCTGTGGCTGGTGTGCAAGCTCGAGCGCACACGCCGTAGTGACACCCTACGATCCTTGGCTGTCGCTGTCTACGACTAGCTCTACTCGGTGGTCACCCAGAAGCTCGGCGGCGAGCCTGCTCCTCTCGTGGATGCTGTTGTATATTTCGATCCGTCCGTCCCTTATTATTCTCCGGTCAACCTTGCGTGGGTCCCAGCCGGAAGTGACTGGGTTCAGTGCGCACACCCGATGGTGAGCATGGTGCTTCACTATGCGTCCAGTATTCCCTGTGAGCAAGTCGGGTGGATTTTTGGTGTGTCGAGTCGTACTGTGTCCCACTGGTACAGTCAGTTCAAGGCAAATGGCCACGTGAATCCTGGTACTGCTATAAAACGGTCTACAAACAGCGCTGCATTAGTATCGTTCGTAAGCGGGTACGTTAGAGATCATCCGTGCTTTTACGTTGAGGAAATGCAGGAGGAGTTAAAGCACCGGTTTGGTCACAATGTAAAAGGCGTATCAGCCACAAGCATTCTACGTCTGCTCCGTTTTGACCTGGGGCTGTCGCGAAAGGTGCTGGAGAGGCGTGTACGAGAGGCGCTGCCGCAAGAGATCGAATGCTTCATGACTAAGATGGCTAAGTGGTACAGTTTTCCGGAACAGCTTGTCTTCATTGGCGAAACGTCAAAGAACGGAGTCGACGCAATGCGGCGCTACGCGTGGTCTGCTCGAGGTCAGTGAGCCATTGTGCGGACACCTTTCGCGCGCGTGAATCGTGTGTCTAACTTGGCAGCGTGTGATGCTAGCGGTTTTATCTCGTGGCAAGCTTTCGAGCATAGTCAGCCTTAAAACTGTAAAAAGCACTTTATTTTGTGAATGTATTGGTGTTTTCAGTCGCTCATGTGGTCTCTGTCGCTCATGTCCTCGCTTAGCTCTCGTGGTGGCCGAAACGACGCAAACATGCCTTCGCCCATGAAATTGTGACTTGGTAACCCAAGCGCGACTCGCAATTCTTGTACATTCACAGTGAGTTGTAGGTCTGTAAATCAATTGAGGCGTACCCAAATGGTTCTGTAAATCGATTCAGTGGTTGTAGTACTGGTTTCTTCTCGAACGAGTCAAGATGTTGCATTTTTATGAACGCACCGTTGTCTGGCAGAGATGGCTCCGTTACGTCGGGCTGTCTCGCATGCGTTGTCTCCCAATACGTACGTGCAATGGGTTCATACTTGAGCATCTGTACGCTTCATCGATAGCGTTGGCAGCTTCTGTGATTCTAGACGATGTGACACGTCGAATTCCTACTCCTGAAGCCTCCCTGTCTGCAAATACAAACACGTCAAACGTGAAAGGTCCTGTCGATTTCTTGCGCTTGCTATAGTGACTCCTTGCAATCTTGACATAGCTCTTCCAATTCTCTACTGTGAGAGCGACCCACTCTGCCTGTTTGGCACCGAGACTTGGCTTCAGATATATTGTAGGGTCAGCTCGAATCGTTCTCATCTTGTAAGCTCTAAGAGCTGGAGCTATTCTGTTTTCTACATCAGTCTGCAATGTATTGAAGGCATCGATCTCCTCATTGAAATTGAATGTTGGGTTGTCAACGCCGACATTCGTTCAGCTTGTTTTCGTAATTACACCGATTTTGATAGGAACGCTATCAAGAGTCATCGTTGCTTTGGACTGGCGGACGGATTTCTGCTATGCCGGTCGTGGAATGACGTGAAGGCATCGGACATTCGGCCCGATATAGAGACAAATCGGAGAGCAGCTGGCTATTTATACTAGCTCGCTTTTTAATAATAGTAGTTTAAATCTGAAAGCGTGCATCTAATTCCTTGCGAACGGCTCTGGTTTATTAATAAAACAAGATTACATAGCCTTATTTAGACTCTAAATAGTCAGATATGTAATCGGATAAGACAATCAAATCGGTTTTCACGATAAAATAATTATTTTTAATCAGGTTGGTAATCTAAATTATACCCGGATTTATGAAATTAAAAAAATGGATTTAGGAGCATAGGTCAGTTTTTTTGGAATAATTAAGCGTAGCGGAGGCAGAAAGGCATAAACAAGTAGAACTAAACCTAATCTACCGCCGCGTAGCGGCGGCGCTCGGCTAGTTTTTTTATTATTGCGGTTAAGCCACCTAGGGTTAAATGTATCTACTTAATGTGTCTGTCGAATTATCTAGCATAGTTAAACTTAATCAAATGCATGACGTGTGGCTTTCAACCAACGTACTGTACTGAGAGTTTGCTGGTATTCCGTACCCCTGTGTGTCCCACACCATGTAGCCCCATAACCCGCACAAAAAAACATTACAAACAATCGAATTGGCTAAAACGAAGTGCATACAACTGGTCGGTTGCCGCTTGGAGGGACTTCATTTTTTTGGAAAAACTATGGAGCTTAGGGAGCTCGATGTACTCAAATTTAGAAATAGGGCTATTTGATGTACCCAAATGCATTTTGTGTTTTAAACATAGTTGTCAGGTTGGACCAGCCACAATTTCATTATACATATTCTACACGTCCGAGATGACAGTGATGATTCCAGACCTGTTCTCCGCATAAGTGCCCCTCCTCGTCCATGGACCCCTTCGTAGGTTTAAAGAGCACTAGAGTGGTTTCTTGTGATATTTTGTGTATCTTAGCAGTCTATGAGAGTATGCAACATTTGTTACGTAGTCGATGAGCACGTTGCGTCATTGGGGTGGTCAGACCATTCTTCTATAGAGGAAAGTGAATGAACGGGATAATACTACTTAAGTATCTACCAGTGCTGATGAAGGAATAACCCTGACAAAAACCTTTAACAAAAAACAAAATCAAGGAAAGCTCCGATTCCTACAGAGCTATAGGTATACAGGAACGAAGCGCTATACAAATGCTGGCTTCTTCCCACACGGTCGCAGGATATTCTAAGGCGCCCGCCGAAAAATCTAGGAAGCGCACTATTAAAGGTCCATGGCTACTCGAAATTCTTGCGAAACCCAACACTACACGATTATGTTTCCATGTGTCAGCGTACGATTTGTTGGTCTAGTTCGCTTTAGAATGGGCAATTGTCGCCTCATTTAGGGTGATCTCTACTTTAAGCCACCGACTAGCAAAGCTGAGGCGTAATATGGCTTCGTGATATATTACAATACATCTCGGCTGTAATTCTTTGAGCGAGGCATACCGTATTCTCTTGGCCCAGCTCACGACATTGCAATTATATGAGGGTCTACAGGCTGTTGTACAACGAGACCTTTGGATCATTTGTTGGGTACATCAAAAAGCCCTATTTCTAAATTTGGGTACGCTCCATAGTTTTTCCTTGTGCTTCAATTCTCCGAGTCGGGAGAAAACACTTATTGTTTGGAGACGTAAGCGAATCTGTTCAATTATAATAAAGCTTGTGTCGGAGCGACAAGCAGCATTCTCAACACCGCATGATAAAAGTATAGCCTCCAATTCCCTTTTACCAGCCGGAGTTCTCGAATGGCAGGAAATATCAAGCTTCAACCACCTAACTACATGTATTAAAGATTTCAAGTCGATGAGATTTGACATCCGAACGGAAATAATTGTAGAAAATTTTGTTCCGTACACCAACTTCTTGAAAGGACGCGCATTTGCAGATCTGCAGTCACAGTCATGCCTCGCATCACGGTTGAGCTGCTACGCAAGCGCGCGGAGCACAATGAAGGCACGATCTCCACACTCGAGGAGATTTCCTTGCACCAAGAAGAACTGGAGAAGATGGAGGTAATCGGCACCATGTGTCGCAAGCTGCGTATCCTTTACCTCCAAAATAACATCATCGAAAAGATCGAGGACTTGACGCACCTGAAGGAGCTACGATACCTCAATTTGGCTCTGAATAACATATTTGAGATCGAAGGTCTGCAGAGCTGCGAATTCCTTAACAAACTGGACCTCACCGTCAACTTCGTGGACTTTGACACGCTGGAAAGGAGTATCGACCACCTCAAACCTCTGCAGCATCTCCGAGAACTCTACATGCTCGGGAATCCGTGTCAATCTGACTGGGAGACCGGATTCCGAGAATACATAATCGCTTCACTACCTCAACTGGGGATTCTAGACGGTAAAGAGATCCATCGTAGTGACCGGATCAAGGCTCTGCAAGTCTTTCAAGAGAGACAAAAGTACGTGCGTAGAGAAGCCATTAAGGTACTTGCCAAAAAGGCGCAACAAAAAGAAAAAGATGAAGCGGTGATTGAAGTGGTCGGTGGCGAAGCGACCGACATTTCAGAGAAGAAGGCGGTATTGTCGTCGACGGAGAAGGTGCCATATACACCGCACACTCGTCGTGAAATGTATCTCGAGATGGCGGAGCAGAAGGAAGAAGAAGAAGCTCGTAGACGTGAGAACCAGCCAAGGGAGAGAAACACAGAAGCTGAACACAAGGAGTCACTACGGAAGGCTCGGGAGCTGGAAGAGAGGGCAGACGGGTCCGTTCGACAGTGCAACGAAGGCAAGTGGGACTTCCGACTTACAGATGAGATCCTCGACATCATACTGGAAGTGGATCTACCTCGGTTCATGGACACGTCGATGGTGGACGTGGATGTTCATCCTTCGTATGTCTCCATTGTGGCGAAAAATAAAGTTCTCCGACTTAAATTCCCGGAGCTTGTACACTCAGATGCAGGTAAAGCGGAACGATCCAAGACCACGGGAACTCTGCGCTTGACGCTTCCGAAAGCGCATGTCACTCCTACACAACAACTACGTGCCAAGCTGCACCGTGAAGAGCAGGAGAAAAAGAGAAAGGACAAGAAAAAAACACCTTCGACCATGAAGAACACATCGAGGCACACCAAGATTTCTGACGAGGTACAGCAATTTTTTTCATTGTTTTTATTTCAAGGACTTACACTTTGTCTTTTGACCGGTGTAGCTTCTGGAAGCTGCGAATAAAACCTCAGCGGATCAACGTCGTGCGGTCAGCATTCGCGGGCTAGTGAAGAAAGAGAACGACGATGGCAACAGTAAACGTGTGCAGATGACTCCACTAGTGACGAAAACGACTGCGACCCACAGTATTGGACCCGAAGTAGAGCTTGAAGAGGAGCACGAAGACGCCCCACCGCTAGTTTTCTAGTGCAACAAAGTGTACATTGTATGCTTCTATTAAATATTAATAGAACGGTCAACTGCCAGTACAAAACTCGTTAGGAACCGCACCACTTCACTGACGTTGACCGACGATAACAATCGAAATCTGCATCTTGAATAGCTATCCTATGAGCCTCCGCCGCTCTCTCTAGTATCAACAGCGCACCAAATGACAGAACCTACCGGATGGGTGAATAAAATGACTTTCATCCGAGCTGATACCTACGATCAAATAAACTACAGTAGTTATTAAATACACCCAAATATTGGCGTAGAAGCGTAGTACAGTTGCAAGAAGTGCTAGAAGATCACGATGAGGAGCACAAACTTGGAGGGTACATACATTTATCTGTCGATTTCATTGCTGTTACTGGGGCATTCGATCTGGTCATGCTACAGTGGTTGTTCAGATCGATGGAAACCCCGACTAATATGATGCTCACGAGTCAACCATCAGCGTCGCGGGTTGGATTTTTCTTTGCCTAATACGTAAAAAGAAAAACAAATGTATGCTTTGTGTTTTCTTGGGGCACCAAATACATAGTAAGTTGGTTTCAGACAGTTAATGTATTTTTTTCTCCTAAACTACCGAAGGAAGGCAGGCGAGCCTGCGATGCAAAAGATACTCTTGCGTTTACTGCTTGGAAGCATTGCCGAAGGAAGGAGGGAAAGTTTTCATGAGCACGTATAATTATCAGGAATTTATCAGCGCTACCCACTGTCCCTATATCGCATTTACTCTCATTTTCGCTAAGTGTACATGTAATACGTATCAAATGTGCCACTGACGGCGGTAAGGATGGCACGAAGCGTCTCGGACAAGAAGCTCCCGCTGTCCTGATCCTGCTTGGGCATTGCACAGATGGCTACGAACCAAGCAAAACCTGGCTGGCCGCTCTCTGTCAACCCCGTCCACAATTGTCCAACCGTTTTTCCACGTCTCTCCCCAACGTCACTCGACGACGCGGCAGTTGGAATTTCGAGCCGCCTCGCACGCATCGGGTCCGTAAACCATGGCCGATCCGGAGCGTTCCAACCGAGACCTTCGTCTAAACCTGCTGTCCCCCGTGACCCCCTCTGGAGACTACGCACTCGCCTCAGGCATCACGTCGCTGTCGGTGCACCATCCCATGGACTTGGGCTGGGTGAGTGAGATGAACTTCATTCGCGCCGACACGCCCAGTCAATTACGCCAGCGCTTCATCCAGATCCAAGTTACCGATCGGCGCTTTAAAGAACCTTCGTGGATGCACCCGAATATCGGCGGCGAGGCGCAGTTCGTGCAGGGCCACAAGGACGAGATCGACGCTATGCGCGAGGAACTGGAAGTCAATGCAACGAAAGACAAACTGGGGGAATGGACATCCACGTCCATCAGTGGCAATGCAATCCTCTCCAGTGTGTTATTCTCAGCAGGCCAAACGATCGCAAAGGCCGGCAAGTTGGCACCAGTGACGCAACTATTCGTAATTACAGTCGTCTACTGTCTACGTTGGGTATTCGAGGAGGTTATGAGCGCTGTACCGTTGAACGGAGGGTTCTATACAGCGATGCTCAACTCCGCCCCTAAGAAGGTCGCTGCGATTTGTGCAGTGTTCAGTATGCTCTCGTACTTGTCCACAGCTGTGGTGAATGGAGTGTCCGCGATGAATTACGTCAACGAGTCGCTCGTGGAGATCCCCGTAATGGGCTGCACTATCCTCTTACTCGTCGTGTTCGCACTACTGTGTCTTATGGGCATCGCCGAGAGTGCGTTTGTGGCACTTATTTTGTTTGTTTTCCACACATTTACACTCACTCTACTGGGAATTTTCAGTTTGGTCTATGTGGCACAACATCCTTCCATTTTTGTGGACAACATGGGTACATCTCTCCCTCACGTGACGATGTTTGGTGGAGCTGCAGAGGCCAGTAATATCGTCTCCGCTTTGTTTCTCGGCTACGGTACAGCGATGCTTGGCGTCACAGGCTTCGAGAGCTCGTCGCAGTACGTGGAAGAACAAGCCGCGGGTATGTTCCCCAAAACATTGCGCAATATGTGGGCTCTTTCCAGTACATTCAACGTGGTATACTCGCTACTAGCTTTGGCAGTCGTGCCACTCGACACGATTATCTCGAACCAGTCGACATTACTGTCGCTAATGGGTCGACTCAGTGGCGGTCGTTGGCTGGAAATTCTCGTGGCAATTGACGCATTTGGTGTGCTTGCAGGTGCTGTTTTGACAGCATATGTAGGAATCAACGGATTATTCCAGCGTCTGGCAATTGACCGTGTGCTCCCCAGCTTCTTACTGAAAGTTAACTCCTGTCGTGGCACAAACCACTACATTATCCTGGTCTTCTGCATTGTGTGCTCCAGTCTCGTGTTCATTTTGAACGCCGAAGTGACGGTACTCTCGGGTGTCTTTGCACTTGCATTCCTCTCTGTACTGCTATCGTTCACCATCGCGTGTGTCCTACTGAAAATCTGTCGAGAGGAGATCCCACGCAAGACAACGACGTCATGGACCAACACGTGCTTCTGCCTGGTAATGATCTCGCTGGGTATTCTGTCGAACGCCTTCTCGGATGTCAAGGCGCTGTCGTACTTCTTTATCTACTTTTTGGCCTTCTTCGTGGTGGTTTTCTTGATGTTGACTCGCGTCAGTCTACTCAAAGGACTTCTCTATATTTCACGCAAGCTGTTGCTCCATTTCGGTAGCAAACAAGGAGATTCCACACCTTTACAACAACTTTCGGCGGGTGGCCAGACGTTTGTGGGCAGTGTGAAAGTTGCCAAGACCATCGAGACGGTCAAGAACACGCCTGTGGTGTTCTTCTGTAAGGCTGCTAACTTGCCAAAGATCAACGAGGCTGTGCGGTACGTGATACAGAATGAGCACACGTATTGCCTCCGACTAGTCCACGTGTGCGAGCCTGACGCACCTGTTCCACGGGAATTCGAAGATGTCGTCAACTTGTTCGACCACATTTATCCGTCCATGAAGATCGATTTTGTCGCTGTGACTGGAGCGTTCGACCCGGCGATGGTGCAGTGGCTGTCCAAGTCCATGGATGTCCCGACCAACTTGATGTTCATGCGTCAACCGGCGAATGAGAACATCCATCGCGTGTCGGCGCTAGGCGTGCGCGTAATCACGGATTAATGTAGGCAGGGAGTCACAGAAACAAAGTGAAATTTAAAATTCGAATAAAAAAACGAGGTTGTGGACAAGTTTTCGTTTTGACTGGCAACTTGCCAGTGGCAGCTCGTGCGTGACGAGTTCCATCGATGCAGGGACTGCAACTTGCAGTTTTGAGGAGGTCGGCAAACATGATGAGGTCCAAGTCAGGGACACAGTTCTGCTTGCATATTTCTTGGCCTCTCACGTGTGATAGAAAGCCAGGCAATCATGGGATCTGATCATGGCGGCTGGCAGCCCTGATAACCAGTCGGTCTATTGCTCATTTCTCCACTTCAGACTGAGAACACACGGCAAACTGCAGCTATCTGCCGTCATGCTAGTGACCGCAGTAGCATCCATTATTCTGGTATTCGCTGCTCAGAGCGACGCTCGCAGTCTTGTGGATGGGAACACAGCGCGCTGGCCCTCATTAAGCTTCCACTTTTCCATCAAGCGCAGCTCCACGAGAATCCACGAACACTCGGACTTCTCCGTATTGGCAAACCCAGTTGTATCGGCTACTGGCGATGCTGTCGACAGTGTTTTATACGATACCTTCGCCTCGCTCACTGAGGATTCGACGCAGTACAACTACACGGTCATAGACGGCAGCGCTTACATTTCTCACAGTCCTTTGGACAGCGATACAAACGCCGTGGTAGATTGTGACGATTCAGATGTGGTGTCGTCCATTAACTCCATCATAAGTGCACTCAACAATGCCACCCCCGTGTCAAGAATATCTTCAAGCAGCGGTGTAATTGACTGTCCAAGTGGAAACACGTTCAGGGTTTCGGTCAATGGAATCGACCTGGGCTTGTGCTATTCGGAGTCTTCAGGCTTCAAGCTGTACGGTGACGACATGGAAATCGCCGTGGAATTTCTGAAAACTCATGAGCAAATCAACAAACCGAAATTTGATGAAAAAGAGTGCGCGAAAGTGGCATTGCCAGTTTTAGTAACTTCAGTCGGGAAGTTTTTGCTCACTGGGGGAACAATTCCTCATGACGCCAGGAGATTAAAAGCTATGCTGTTCAATCTCGACCTCTCCCTTAAAGACGAACCATGCACGTGCAAGTCGACGCCGCGCCCGTGCATTTTTATTCATGGCTTGGGAATCAAGACCGAAGAGCCCGAGAATCTGGACGTGTTCCCTACTAAATACTGGGGCAACCTTACAGACCACGCGCCATGCTGCTCATCAATGAAGTATGCTATGCTAGACACGGTGAATAACTCGTGGACGGACGGTGAGCAGCAGCAGAAAGTCTGTGATCGAGCGCTTGCGGTGAACCAGCAGCCCAGTCAAGACAGTGCCATCACAGACACTATTATCATCACGCACTCCATGGGCAACCTTATGCTCGCTGGCGCCATCGCTACGGGCAAATGCAGCCTGGCTGCGTCTTCAACATGGGTGGGTTTATCAGGTCCAATGCGTGGAAGTATGGCCTCCAACTATTTCCAAGACTCCTGTAAGAACGAAACCAACTTTCTTGTCGAAAATTTAGTAGCAAAGACTGGGTACTGTCCCGCTGTTGACGGAATTGATTCCCTCGCGTACGAAGGCGACAGCTACAGCAATCCGGAACAGGATGCAGCGTACGTGGAGGCGCAGAAGGCGTACCGAAGCAATGTGAAGGCCGTCATGTGCAGTAACGGGTTCTCCGGACTGCGATCCGACCGGCAATGGTGGTATTGGATGTTAGGAACTGTCGTTTCGCACCACTCTTTCAAGAACGACGGTTTGGTGGAATTCGACAGTTGCGCGGGTGGATTCCCTACGTCGGATTTCGGGAATTCCTACGAGGACAAATTCTACGTGACAAAACTAAACCACGCAGATACCGCGTTTAGAAATGGCGATGGGCTCCTCAGTAAGGCCAAAATGCCTGTGAAGTGGTTCGAGTGTCTGCTCTAAAATGATACAAATACCGGTAAGCGACATAATAGACTTGCAGTTTGCAAAGATCGAAAAACGGAAAACTTGCTTGATGAATTGACATGTGAAAATGAAAATGTTGTGTCACTTTTGCTGAGTGTGACTAAAACAATTATGCAAACATTTTATTTAACTCGTCGTAAGTCAAGATAAGTGATTCGATCAGTTCGCTTGAACTTTGTATGCTCTGCCTTCGAGATGGTGCATCCTTCCCGGCCGCCAGTCACTGCACAATTCTCCACCGAGATCACGAACACAACAAGTTTGCAAATTTAACGACATGTCAACGTTGGTTGTGGTGTTCATGGCGGCCTTGGTTGCGGCAGTTCACGTGACTGCTGCACCACATCGAAGCCTTGAGAATGGAACGACGTATTGGCCCTCTCTTCGTTTCCAGTTCACAGTCAAGCGCAGCTCCATGAAGGTCCACGGGCAATCAGATTTTACCATGTTCGCCAACCCTGTTACGTCTCGTGATGAACCTACCCTTGTGCTGTACGATACTGTTGCGACCTTAACACAAGACGCCACAGTCTTCAACTACACTACCGTGAACGGCGTCTCTTACTTTTCGCAAAGTAGTATTGGCAGCAACAGCGCAACTTCCGTACAATGCTATGAATCCGACATCTTACCGTCGCTAAACTCCATTATTATTGGACTAAGCGAGGCTTCGCCCGTGTCCAGTATATTGAAAAGAAATGGCGATCCCATCGATTGTTTCAGCGAGGAGCGATTCAAAGTTTCGGTGAACGATATCCCTTTCGGTCTTTGCTATAAAGGCTCTTCCGGTTCTTCATTGTACGGCGATGATATGGATATCAACGTGGAGTATTCACATAACATCAAAGAGATTCTAATTCCAGCTCCAGACGACAATTCTGCCAAGTGCCCTGCGATGGCAACGTCATACTCAGTGACTTCAATAGGAAAGTCACTATTGACAGGTCAACCTATTCCAACTGAGAATGCTAGAATGCTAAAGCCTGCTTTGGGTTTCTCCTTGGACGCCTCAACGTGCTCGTGTAAGTCGACGCCACGTCCGTGTATTTTTATTCACGGTCAAGGTATCAAAAAGGAGATGGCAGAAAACCAGGACGTGTTCCCTATGACGTATTGGGGGAACATGACAGACCACGCGCCGTGCTGTACGTCGCTGAAGTTTGCAGTGCTCAACACCGTGAGCAACTCGTGGACTGACGACAAGCAACAGCAGAAGGTGTGCGATCGCGCTCTTGCCGTTAGCGCAACGAGCAGCAGCTCAAAAATTTCCGACACCATCATTATTACGCACTCAATGGGAGCTCTGATGCTCGGTGGCGCAATCGCTTCGGGAAAGTGTAGCCTCTCCCCAAGCACAACATGGATCAGTACGGGAGCTCCAATGAGAGGGAGCATGGGCTCGGACTATCTTCAAGGTTCGTGTGACGGCGTAACCAACCGGGTCATGGAGAAGCTGGCCAATGTAACAGGACGATGTCCCGTAAGTGCTGCCGTCCGGTCCCTCGCGTACGAACACGGCGATTACGCTTCGGTAAAGCTGAATAGAGCGTACAAGGAAGCACAGGAGGTTTACCGGACTCATGTGAAAGCGGCAATGTGCAGCTATAAGCACAGCGGATTGATCTCTAGCTATCAGTGGCAATTTTGGCTTCTTGGCAAGGTGGTTCCTCACAATTCTCCTCAAAACGATGGCATGGTGGAGCTCCACAGCTGCGCTGGAGGCTTCCCGGAATCGAGGTTTGACACAAATTACCGAGAACCATTTTACGTGACGAAACTCAACCATTTCGACGTGGCATTTCAGAGTGGCGATGCACTTTTGGATGAAGCGAAAATGCCGATGAAGTGGTTCGAGTGTCTTCTGTAGAAATAAAAAAAATAGAAATGCACTGAGGTAGCAAAACCTACTTCAAGTAACCGGTTGGTTAACTCACCCATTTGCAATTGATATCCGGTGAGTTACAGTTTTTATTCTGCTTTAGGATCAGATTACACTTGTACATGTACATGGTAGTTGTTCAAGGCATTCAAGTTGAATGTCAAGTTCTCCTTGTCGAGTCGAGCACCCATGTCATATTCGACTGACTTTCGGATCTCTTGTAGACCACAAGTTGTGGTAGTGATCCGATCGACCTTCGCAGCAACTTGTGATCGATGTCACCGTTCGCTGAGTTGGTCAGCAACATGAGCGATCACTGTCTGTTAAAGTGAGTTTGAAAGCTTGACTTCTCGTCTTTCGAGTCGAGTCTTCAACATTGTCGAGTCGACTTGATGTCATTGGCAAAGCCCCAAGATAAACACATGATCTCCTTCGAACCGGATAGTCAACGTCTAAAAATTCGTATGCATGAGTCCGGTTCAACACCTTTGCTCGACACAGCATCCGTGACGTCGAATTTTGACACCCTTCGACGAGCACCACCGCAACGGCGGACGTGATCCCCTCAGTGACCGTTTTGCTCTCTGAACCAAAGATTTCACGATGTCAACGCTACGTCGAAGCGCCATCTTCGCCACTGTATTAGCTGGTATTTTGGCTTTCGCAACTGCACAGAACAGCGTCGTTCAACACGACTCAAGTACCGATTGGCCGTCCCTGAGCATCCAGTTCTCGATCAAGCGTGCCGCAACGGAAGTCCACGGGCAATCCGAGTTTTCAGTCCTCGCTGACCCGATTGTATCAAGCAACCAAGCTAGCGTGCTCTACAACTCGCTCACGTTGTTCGAAGAAGATGGAATGCTCTTCAACTACTCTCTCGTTAATGGAGTGGCCTACGTTTCTCACAGCCTCCTGGATGACAGCGAGAGTCCGGAGGTGCAGTGTATGGACACGAATATGCTCCCGCCAGTCAACGCCATCGTGGCTGGACTGAATGACGCGGAGGCCGTTTCAACCATTCTTGCAGGTAAAGGCGAGGACATCACGTGTTCAAGCGGAAATTCCTTTAAAATGTCGGTAAACGGCATCGAATTCGGTCTTTGTTTCTCAGGTCCTTCAGGTTTCTCGATGCATGGCAGCGATATGGACATCAAGGTCGAGTACGTGGAGAATGACACGCCTATTGTAGCGCCAACAATGGATAAAAGCGCTAGAGCTCATTGCGAAAAGGTGGCGTCGCCCACTTCTGTCACTTCCCTCGGGAAATATTTTCTAACTGGAGAGGAGATTCCCGCCGATACAAGAAAATTGAAGCCGGCGTTCGAATTTTTCGAGACAGACGGCTCCTGTTCGTGCAAGTCGAAGCCACGTCCGTGCGTGTTTATCCACGGTTTGGGTGTTCTTGAGGAGGAGGAGGAGAACCTCGATACCTACAACTACTGGGGCAACCTGACAGGCCACACGCCGTGCTGCTCAAGCACCAAATATGCCGTCCTTAACACGGTGAATAACTCCTGGACCGATTTTATTCAGCAGCAGAAAGTGTGCGATCACATTCTCGCAGTGAGTGAGACGAGCAATGGCACTAAGGTTTCGGATACAATTATCGTCTCGCACTCCATGGGCGGACTTATGGTCGCAGGGGCGATTGCAAACGGACTCTGCAGTCTCGATAAAAGCACCGCGTGGGTCAGCACAGGATCACCTATCACGGGTAGTATGGCGTCGGATTACTTCGAGGAATCCTGCAAGGACCAGACTAATGCTTTCATGGAGCGATTTGTTGAATCGACGGGCTTTTGTCCTGCAGACGACGGTATCAAGTCTCTGGCATATATACACGAGCGCTATAGTAATCCTGTCCTGAACGTGGCCTACGAGGCGGCTCAAAAGGCATATCGAGAGAATGTGTACGCTCTGATGTGCAGCGACAGCTATGCCGGAATTCTTTCGTCATATCAGGTTGGCTTCTGGATTATGGGCAGCGTGATCTCACATAAATCTCGTAAAAACGACGGTATGGTTGAATTCCACAGCTGTGCCGGCGGGTTTCCCCCGTCCAAGTTTGGTAGCGACTATCAGGATCGCTTTTACGTGTCGAAACTCAACCACTACGATGTGGCATTCAAAGGAGGTGATGCTCTTTTGGATAAAGCGAAGATGCCAGTCAAGTGGTTTGAGTGCCTACTGTAGGGAAGCATGTTAAGCGTAATAGGTTAGAGCTGAAACATGCTATCGCTTCAACGACAAATAGACAATGAGCAGTATTTATTTACAATACTATTTTAAGAGCACTTTGAAAAGTGCTCCTACTTTTAGTTAGACTTAGAATAGGACGAAGTACTGTTCTTCGAAGTTTTAATAGATAAAGAGCAACAAGCGTAAATAAACAGTTTTACATGAGTTTTCACTTTTTCGACGCGTATTGCAATTTCAATACCGACTTCCATGCATGTACAGCGGTACAGTACCGCCAGCGCAATAACACGATTTCGGACGAAATCAAGTGTGTACATGTATTCGGATAATGTTGACGTGATAAAGTACATGTACTCAAGTTGAGTCTTAACGGATACTATTCATGCACTGCTTGACTACCACAAACGACGTTGCTACTAAAACGAGATTTATTTACTTTAAGTACTTCAAAGTAATTGTGTTCGGCAGCGTCATTTTGCTCACTGCACCCTGTCTTGGCTGATGTTGAGAACCAGGCTTAAAAAGCCTAAAAACATCAGTAGACATGTTGCGTAAGTAGACACTGTTTACTGAAGTGTACATTTGTCCCGTACCCGGGAATACAGGGGTCGTTCCAGCAGCGTGCACCAGATGCGAAGAAGGTAAAGTCTGTGTTAAAGCACAGGGTCCTACTGTATCAAGTGGGAGCTGTTCAAGCGTCGACTGCGAGGTACGGCTGGTGCAGAGGGAATTGTGAAGACCTTGAGGAGGGAGTTTGCACTTGCGACGCCAGCTTCAAGGACGGATGACACGAACTATATACTGTCTTGAGTATCGAGTCAACCGGGTGTCACGTTGGGTTGGAAGTCATGCCCAGGAGTACAGGTGAGCGTAGGAGATTGTGTCATCCTCATGAGCGCGATCGACCCTTTCCCCGTTTTAGCCCGGCGCATTAGTTTCTCAGTCGTATATTTCCCACCTACTACAAAGAACAATGAGCCAAGTTTACTTTTCACTGATTACCGCTCGTTACCGTTCTACAACTACAACCCGCTCCTCGCTCGCCCCACGCAAGGCCCCGCTCTACAAACAGCCGCGGACTGCCCGACCCTGACCAGTAGCGCGGTCGGAGGCGCCGCGCGAAGGGGAGGTGTGCGACATTTGGTGGAGAAGCAGGGTAGTCTGCTTGCTGGAGAAGGCGCTGTCTGGTGAGAGTTGGAGGAGCTACGAGCACTAAGATGGAAGACCCGAGGTGGACCCAGCACTGTTGGGGCTGGGGGCCCGAGAAGTCTCAGCCGTCAAACGGCTGGTGGAACAGTCCTGGATGCGTGTTTTCAAGTCGACAACACGGGGACGGTGCCATCCCGTCGTACCGTGGTTGTTCTATCGTCGATGTGGTCACGATGCCTGATGGCAGCGTCCATGTAATCCCCCCACACTATTTGTATTCGTCGTTTGCTGTATGCGGTGGAAGTGTCTTACGCAGAGGCTATATACTATTACCGAACGGCCAAGTACTTCAACCAGCAGTCGGACTGCTGAAACAACTAACGCAACACACTCAGGAAGTGTTCCCATCCCAGCCAATTTGGACACAGACACCACCCAGCCAATTTACAGCGCGGAGTGCTTACAATTTGGCAGAGCGGTATGGAGCGCGTCCCGGGGTGAGAGGAACGTTCCAGGAGGTGTGTGAATCGATTATAAATGGAGCGCGTGTGACTGAAGAAGTGAAACAAGAACAGTCATCGATCAGAGAACGCTCTGAGTCCGTATGGTACAGTGCGTCAATGGTTCCAGGTGCGCGTGAGGACTGGAGTGTGGAACGAGAATATGGGGTAGAAGAAGTAACCGGAAGGGTGCAACAAGAACAGTTATTTCTTCGCAAGGAGATCAAACCTGCCAGATACGATGCGACAGTGTTCCAGAACACTCCTGGAACCTTACGTGTCTCGCGAGACTGTGAAGAAGCACTAAGTGGAGATAGCTATGAAGAATTGGCTGAAGTGACTACTGTTAGGAGAACGGTACTGGTAGAGCAAGAACCAGAGAAACCTGCTATGAAGAACGATGGCGAAGTTCGAGAACCCGCAACCAAAGGCACTAACACGCGAGCGATAGATTCCGCGGTGGGTGGTGAACACGGCTCGTCCGTCTGCATATTTCAAAATGGGTTTAAAAAGCGTTCCGTCGCCGAGGAAGAGATCGTCGAAGAGAACAAAAGGACGGTAGGCTCTGAAGGTGATATCATGGTTCAGCATCAGTGAGTTAGCTCGGTCTTCGAAGTCAACACTCCTAGCGAAGAAGAGGACCACCGGGGTCGCATTTCGAGTCGCAACTGTCTGACTGTGGTCAAGGAAGCCAAAGCGAAGGTACTAGGCACCGAGAACGCTACATCTGCGACGGTAGGAGAACGGAGCACTTACGGAGAAGTCGACGCGGACGGTCCCGTCGACGAAGTACTTAAGGCGAACACTCTTAACCGTGACCTAGTGAGCACTACCAGCATGATGCAAGGAGAACGGATCACTTACGAAGAAGTCGACGCGGACGGTCCCGTCGACGAAGTGCTTAAGGCGAACACTCTTAACCGTGACGTAGTGAACACTACCAGCGTGATGCAAGGAGAACGGAGCACTTACGGAGAAGTCGACGCGGGTGGTCCCGTCGATATGGGTTGGAAGGAGAACAGTTACAATAAGAAGACCAGGGTCGAAGACGACATGGATATGGTGAAGATGATAAGAATTATTCCGTCGAAACCCCAAGTTGGCAATGAAGGAGGATCTGAGTACCCTTCTTAAGGGAATGGTTACAAAGGTAGCCAAGGAGAGCAGGGTGTGTGACAAGGAGCTTTGCTCAGAACGCTTTAAGCGACCACTAGCCGAGCTGGATGAAAGTTCCGACGATCGAGACGTTAGGGGTGGAGTCGTGAACCATGCTGTTGTCTGGGTAGCAAGTGTACTCAACAAGGAAGTGTTTGCGTGGTACCAGAAGGCGACGCGTCTCAAGATAGCACGTGATACGGGCGCGATGGTACTGGCGTTTGCTGCCGCCGTGACCACAACGATAAGTCTGCTCCTAACCGTGCTGCTTTTGGTTCGGTTCCCCGGACTTTACCTCATCGCCTCCGGTGCACCGTTCGCCGAGGACGGCAAACTTCAAGTGGGGGAGAATGTCCCGTACCCGGGAGTACAGGGGTCGTTCCAGCAGCGTGCACCAGATGCGAAGAAGGTAAAGTCTGTGTTAAAGCACACAGGGTCCTACTGTATCAAGTGGGAGCTGTTCAAGCGTCGACTGCGAGGTACGGTTGGTGCAGAGGGAATTGTGAAGACCTTGAGGAGGGAGTTTGCACTTGCGACGCCAGCTTCAAGGACGGATGACACGAACTATATACTGTCTTGAGTATCGAGTCAACCGGGTGTCACGTTGGGTTGGAAGTCATGCCCAGGAGTACAGGTGAGCGTAGGAGATTGTGTCATCCTCATGAGCGCGATCGACCCTTTCCCCGTTTTAGCCCGGCGCATTAGTTTCTCAGTCGTATATTTCCCACCTACTACAAAGAACAAGGAGCCAAGTTTACTTTTCACTGATTACCGCTCGTTACCGTTCTACAACTACAACCCGCTCCTCGCTCGCCCCACGCAAGGCCCCGCTCTACAAACAGCCGCGGACTGCCCGACCCTGACCAGTAGCGCGGCCGGAGGCGCCGCGCGAAGGGGAGGTGTGCGACACATTGTACAGCAACTTGTGGGAAACTTAGATGGTAGGTGGGGTAGCCACACAAACTTGGTGACCAAGTGACTTGGACAACGGATCAAAGCCGAAGATAGCGTTGCTTACAGGAACCACCCTTTTACAGTACACTGGGTAAAACTGGAAAATATTCATTAAGCGAGCGACAATCCACTCAAATATGTTCTACTTAAGTAGGTACGATCGGGACCATAGCATGATCGGCTCACTACGGTAGCTAGCGGCAATATCGAGATCTTCACACATCCGTTTACCAGTAGTTTTCCTAACATTATAATATGTGATCTTTATTTTTAATTTGAAAATGGAATTTCTAACTATCACAATACATTACTGTATTAAGATACAGTAATGTATTGTCCCTCTGTTGCTGTGTTTTTCTTGCTGTTTCTACAGAGCAATAATATATTATTCATTTTACATTTTGATCAGCACGTGTCAGGAATGGGAACGGCGTTTTTGAGCTCGATATACATCGTAAGCCTTACTGTGCTAGTTTCGCTCGTGATACAAGTGGAACCTGCGTTGACACTTGAACATCAGGAGCTACGTGAGCTCCCAGCCCAGACAGGAAATACGGAATGGCCTTCATTACGATTTCACTTCACGAGCAAGCGCAGCTCCATGCAAGCATATGGCCAATCCAACTTCTCCGTGCTCGCAAGGCCCGTTCTCCCCGTCGATGTTTACAATAATACCAGCGTTCTCTATGACACGTTTGCCTCGTTCGCGATGGAATCGATGAGCTACAATTGGACGGCGTGGTATATGTATCGCAAAGCTTTCCAACCACCAGCACTCCGCTGGTCCAGTGTACAGACTCCGTTGTCGTACCGTCGATTAACTTCATTGTTTCAGCGCTAAACGAAGCTACAGCGGTGTCCAGTATATCCACGAGCAGCGGCAGCGTTATGGAGTGCTCGAGCGGTCATTCGTTCAGGAGCACAATGGATGGCATCAGTTTTGGAGTATGCGCTTCTGGTCCGTCAGGTTTTACGATGTATGGCAGCGATATCGACATCACCGTGGAATATATAACGAGTCCCGTGGAGATTTCTGCCCCTAAACTTAATCGGGAAGCGACAGACGATTGTAAAGTGACGGCAATGCCAACTTCAGTGTCGGAAATGGGGAAGTCATTGCTCACGGGTAAGGTGATCTCCGCTAATTCGAAAAGAATGCTCAAGGCTGAATTTGATTTCCTGCTGGAAGATTCGTGCTCGTGCAAGTCAAAGCCGCGCCCCTGTATCTTCATCCACGGTTTAGGAATACGCGAAGAAGAGCCGACAAACGCTGATGAACTTCCAAAGTACTGGGGCGATTTGACGGACCACGCACCTTGTTGTTCGTCAATGAAATATGCAGTCCTCGATTCGATAAAATACGCCTGGACCGACAAGGTCCAACAGCAAAAAGTGTGTGACCGGATGCTCACTGTAAGCGAAACCAGCCGTGGGGGCACAATTTCTGACACAATTATCATCTCGCACGCCATGGGCGGACTATTGGTGGCTGGCGCTATTGCAATGGGGACATGCAGTCTCGCTTCAAGCTCAACGTGGATCAGTACTGCGTCTCCTATGAGTGGGAGTATGTCGTCCGATTACTTTCAGGATTCCTGCAAGGATGACACCGTCTTGTTCATGGAAATCTTCGTGGATCTCACTGGCTATTGTCCTGCGGGTAACGGGATCCAATCCCTTGCCTACCAGAATGAAAGCTACAGGTCGAAGAAGCTGGATGCAGCGTTTGTGGCTGCTCAAAAGGTGTACAGAAACAACGTGTATGCCCTTATGTGCAGCAAGCAATACGCCGGGATTTACTCCATTGAACATTTGCAGTATTTGACGCTGGGCAACGTTGTTCCGCATAAATCAGACCAAAACGATGGAATGGTGGAGTTTCAGGGCCATTCTTATCAGCTGGGATTCCTGGGATTTCGGAACCCTCGCTTTTCATTGGTGTACGAACATCTACAAAAGTTGGACGAATTGTGCATAAACAGAAAATCTGGGGTACCGTTCTCCGATCCCATAAAAAAAGTTGGGGATCGGAGAACGGATCCCCGAGCTGGGATCCCGAGATCACAGGCTTGGCATCCAATCGTTTGTGCTGTGAGTTTGGGCCAAGTAGGGTCAAAGTCTGTTATTTTTAAAATGGACCTCGACAACCTTTTGCCCCTGTACGCTGGTTGTGAAGGGGGGTCACAGAGGGACCTCGCCCCTGCACAGCTGAAAAATGAAACCGCAAGTGTGCCAGTCGACGACACAGCGCTTGTAGCAATCACAGCCCATGCAGACACCGAAGCAGACGATGAGGTCACTGACCTGGCGCAAGAACCACCCCTTTGACGTCAAGACGGTCTAACAGAGCCATATACAGCATATAAAGCGCTTGAGCTGCGTAAGGAAGTGTATCGCAGAGGACTTCGTCCCACCAAAAAGGGCCCACAGGCCAACTGCACCAAGGCTAGTTACATGAAGCTACTCAGGAATTTCGACAGGACCTATCAGCTCTACGATCAAATTGCAGTCGGCAGTGGCGACCAAAAACGAAAGGCGAGCCCCGACCAAACAATCAAAACGAAGCACTGTATGTTCAGGCTCCTGAACGTCATTTTTTCGGACGATTTTGCAACTCGCCTGACCGAAAGTAATGGACCTGTGACCCACATGGATCTTGATCGGGGAGCTGTGAACGAAAGATCACTTTGGACTGATATTGCCGATAGTTTCGCACAAGAACGCTTGGAATATGGGTGGGTGGTCGCAAACCATCCGAAGTTCAGCGGCATCGATCCTTCGATTACAACCGCCCACAGCAGCAGCAAGCTTCGAGTTATGTGGGGAGAGATTACATCGGAGTACCAGCGTTGCCGTATTAACTTCACGCAATCCGGAACTCACGATCCGGATTTTTTCAACTTTTGTTATGGCCAAATTGACATTTTGTATCTTCATCTTTGGTTGCAGAAGAGACCAAATCTACTGGCAACTGTAGCTGGTCGACTGCCCAAGACTGCCCAGGTCGACTCACTGAAGCCAAGGATCGACCCGGCTACGCCTGAGCGGCGACCACCCACCTTAGCGAATGGATCCGCTACAAAAAGGAGAGATGAGGAGTTGGCTCTCTTGCGCGAGATGGTCGGACTAGTTAGAGGTGGAAACAATGGGGCCGACCACGCAGGAAAGGTTGATCGAGATGGTCTGCTTCGCCAGCTCAAGACAACTATTGAGACGATGGGGCTACCTCCAGGTACAGCTGCGGGGTACAGACGACGCAGATCAAATCGATGACCTTCAAGCAGACCTTGAATTTTTTGCCGATATAAAAACAAAATCAAAGAGAAGCTCCGTTGCGAAACTTACAAGGTCGAGTCTTCTTTCTTCGTTTAGCTGGTATTTTCATCAATATCAAAAAGCGACTTGGTATCTAAGCGGGTGGGCTCTCCTCCCGTTGCCTGCGCTGTAAATTGTAGGTTGGACGAACGGCGTTGCCACCAGCAATCCTCTGCACCACGATGTCACGAAGGGAGACTGTTCGCACCCACACGAACGATAGAGTCACTTGAAAGATATGCTGCAGCAGTGTCCTGGAAGTAAATAGGCTCAACCTCGCTCGCACGGACATGGTCATTCTTGTTGCGTCGCAATCGCTCCGTGATGCAATAGTTATGAAGCTTCTGTGCTGTCAATATGCGTTGAGTAGTGTACTGTAGACTTCCTTCCATGGGGCTGCGAAAGATCCTCCACTTTGTAATTAATAGCCCGAACGCCATCTCAATTCTAATCCTGAGCTGACTGAGGAAGAAGTTGAACGTGTCTTCGGCAGAGGGAATATCCTTTCCCGGGAAGGGCGTCAGCAGGTGCTCCGACAGCATGTAAGCGTTATCACCTAATAGATATATTCCAACTGGGAGATTCTCCACGCGCTTGTATAAAGCGCTCTCTTCGTAGCTTATTAGATCACTCACACTGCCTGGACATACGGCTGACACGTACGTAAACCGCGAGTCGTAGTCGCAAACGCATTGAACGTTAATCCCAAACGCTTGGTAGTGACCGCTAAAGTATTTTCGTTGCCCAGTCCCCTGTGTATCTGTCTCCGTTGGCGCCCGTATGCGACAGAGCCAACCGTCAATGCACCCTACACATCCTGTCATCTCTCCACAACTACTCAGCAGGCCAAACCCTTCGGTCATTGCTTTGATATCTCTTTCAGTGTCCGGAAATAATATAGCCAAACTGGGATGGTCGCAGTTTAATACAGCATCAACTCCTTTCTGAACGAGCCGATAGTAGCTTGCTATTGAGACTCCGCCAATGCGACGCACGTCATGGTACGACCCACCCGCTAAACTGCGGATCATCATCTGGACTATATTCTCTCGCAATACAGTACTGCGGTAGTCCATGACCAGGCAAGGAGCGAGAATCTGAACTAACTGCTCGAAAGAGCGCGAGGACATGCGATAACACGCATCAAACGCACCCTCGCGTAGAAGACGCTAGCTCTCAGCGTCCCAGTCCAGCCTTTCCCGAGTTAGCTTGGGCTCTCTTCCCTTTCTTAGCTGCACGAACAGGTATAGCGCCACCAGCGCTGCGCTCTTCCGTGCGGGTGTGAGTGGTAGACGCATCACTCACTCCCAGTAGCAGGGGGCTTTCCACAACTCGTCTAAATACATTGAACAACGGCGCAATTCAGATATTAGCACACGCTACGATCACGTTATTAAGCACAATACCCACCGCAAGGTGTGCGTGACGTGGGCGTCCGCCGTAGACTGTGTGCGGCGAAAATCACCGTGCCCGTTGCGCTGCCTTCTTGTCGCGGAGACGATCGCTTCTGCTGTGTGTTAATGTGCCACACACTGTACACCAAATACCCAGCGATCGACTCTTATCAGTTCCCCGGCACACCTTCCCCTAGTCGCCGACGCTGGGATCGGTACCCAGCTGATAAGAATGGGCCTCAGAGCTGCGCGGCGGGAATTCCCGAATCTTAATTTGGCAAGAGCTACCGTGACAGATTCTACGCGACGAACCTCAATCATGCCGATGCAGCGTTCCGGCATGGCGACTCTCTCTTAGATACGGCAAAGATGCCCGTAAAATGGTTCGAGTGTCTTCTTTAAAAGTCGAAAATAAATGCTTTGTTTCATTTCCTGCTGGTAACAATAGCCATAGTTAGATGCTATTGGGACGGGGTCTTCAGGGAGCTCGAGGTACCAAATTTAGAAATAGTGCTTTTTGATGTACTAAAAAAATGATCCAAAGGTCTCGATGTACTACAGCCTGTAGACCCTCATAGAATTGCAATGTCGTGAGCTGGACCAAGAGAATACGGTATGCCTCGCTCAGGTAGTTACAGCGGAGATGTATTGTTATATATCACGAAGCCATATTACGCCTCAGCTTTGTTAGGCGGTGGCTTAATAAGAGTGATACATCGATCACCCTAAATGAGGCGACAATGCCCATTCTAGAGCAAGTGTAGGCGTTTTTGAATGCGAGCTATTATAGACCAACAAATCGTACGCTGACACATGAAAACTTAATCGTGTAGTGTTGAATTTCGCTGACTTACAAGTAGCCATGGGCCTTTAATAGTGCGCTTCCTAGATTTTTCGGCGGAGGGCCTTAGGATATCCTGCACCGTAGCAAGCATTTATAAAGCGCTTCGCTCTTGTAAACCTATAGCTCTGTAGGAAATCTGGAGCTTTCCTTGATTTTCTTTTGTAAATGGTGTTTGTCTAAGGGTTAATGGTGTTTGTCAGGGTTAAAACTTCATCAGCCACAGCAGCACTGGTAGAAACTTAAGTAGTATTATCCCTTCATCCACTAACCTCTATAGAAGAATGGTCTGACCTCTCCAATGACGCAAAGTGCTCATCGACTACGTAACAAATGCTGCATACCCTCATAGACTGCTAAGATACACAAAATACCACAAGAAATAATAATAGACTACTCTAGTGCTATCTAAACCTACGAAGTGGTCCGTGGACGAGGAGGGGCACTTATGCGGAGAGCAGGTCTGGTATACAGCAATGCCGCAGCATCGAGTCGAAGCGTATTGCATTTTAAAGAATAGTCTACCTCCCAAGCTCATTAAATAAATGAATGGAATTCATGCAGCCAAAAAAAGTTTAAAAAAAATGTCCTGCTTTGGAGTAGTGACTAGTATTAATGTGGTCGTTAGGACAGCTAAATGACTGTAATTAAACCTGACTTTGAAGAAGAGAAGTAATAAGTATATTTTTTTAATCCCGAAGCTTCCCCAATGAAGAACTTCTTGTAATCATCACTGTCATCTCGGACGGTGTGCAAAATGTAGCTGTGTAGGTATTGTGGCAGCTCAATTAAAGTCCTACCTGACAAATATGTTTAAAACACAAAATGCATTTGGGTACATCAAATAGCACTATTTCTAAATTTGGGTATCTTGAGCTCCCCTAAGCTCGAGCTCCATAGTTTTTCCCGGTCTTCAGTCTGATGACCGCCTTACCTACATGTACTCACTCTTCAAGAAGGACGAAGTGTTGCCGTCAAAGCCGAAGATAGGCAAGCGATCGACACATCGTCGAACCGAACTCCACACATTTGCTAAACGTATGCATCAAACATCCGGAATGCACATGTCAAGCATTTAGAAATGCTGCCGTCCTCCGTCGGATGGTGTTGGAGGTTGTCGTGGACAGCTCCACTGTTCGATTTTAACGGTCAAAGTCTCTCGCAATGGCTTTGCGTACTTTAGGATTTTTTGCCGCTGCCCTTACGTCGGCAGCGCTAGCGTCTCCACATCAGCTGAATCTTCATTATGGCACGGCGAAAGATTGGCCGGCGCTACGATTTAAATTCTCGGTCAAGCGGAGCTCTATGCAGATTCACGGCCAGTCCGACTTCACGATGTTTGCCGACCCCGTCGTCTCTAATGATATTGCAAGCGTGCAGTACGATACGTTTTCAACGTTCACGGAGAACTCGGTAGCGTTCAATTACACCGTATTTAACGGCGTATCTTACGTTTCTCATCGAGCCATGAACGATAAATCTTCGAGTCCGGGGGTGGAATGCGCAAGCTCAGATATCTTACCGTCAATAAATTCCATTATACCAGCATTAAGCGAAGCTGTGGCCGTGTCGAGTATTTCAACAAGCGACGGGAAGCTTATCGAATGTATGAGTGGAAATGCGTTCAAAGTCACGTGGAATGGAGTTAACTTCGGATTGTGTTTTTCGGGTTCCTCGGGCTTTACGATGTATGGCAACGACGTGGACGTCATGGTGGAGTACGAAAAAGCGAAAATATTAATAAGCGCACCGGCAACGGACGAACAGTGTGCGAGGGCGATCTCTTCGAGCTCAGTGACGTTGATCGGGAAGTCTCTACTTACGGGCGAGGCATTTTCCTTGCAGGATACGAGAAAGTTGGAAGCCGCGTTTGGGTTTGAATTTACGCTGTCTGAGACAGTATGTGGATGTAAATCTAAGCCTCGTCCTTGCGTGTTCCTTCATGGCTTGGCGGCCTTTAAAGAGGAAAAGGAAAATCTCGACACGGACCCTTACTGGGGAAATCTAACGAATCACGCACCCTGTTGTTCGTCGATGATATATGTGAGGCTAGAAACGATGAACACGTCCTGGACTGACCCCAAGCAGCAGCGAAAGCTTTGTCATCATTTGCTTGCAGTGAACGAAAACAACGAGAACTCCACTATCTCGGATACTATAATCGTGACGCACTCGATGGGAGGACTGTTACTCGCAGCAGCGCTTGCAAGTGGGAAATGTCAAGTTGATTCCAGCACCAGCTGGGTAGCGATTGCGTCTCCAATGAGAGGAAGTATGTCCTCTGATTATTTCCAGGATTCCTGCAAGGACAACACCAACTTTGTTATGGAAACTCTTATCGATTACACTGGTTTATGCCCGGGGGGAGACGGTATTCGGTCGTTAGCGTATCAAGGGGAAAAACACAGTTCCAAAAAACTAGATGCGCTGTATAAGGCTGCGCAGCAAGCCTATCGAACTCACGTCACTGCCGCAATGTGCAGCGATGGAAACACTGGGATGCAATCGAACAGACAAGCAGTCTACTGGGTTCTTGGGCGCACGATGACGCACAAGTCTTCCAAAAACGACGGAATTGTGGAATTTTACAGCTGTGCTGGCGGGTTCCCCGAATCCAAGTTCGGCGATTCCTACCACGACCGATTCTACGTGACCAAGCTCAATCATGCGGACGCAGCGTTCCGGAACGGCGACGCACTTATAAACACCGAGAAGATGCCATTAAAGTGGTTCGAGTGCCTCCTCTAAAGCTAAAATGCGAAAATTAATCGACGCATTCGTGCTGAAAAAAGCACGAAAGACTTTTATACTTTTTTTAACTTTACGGATATTGGTTCCATTGAGATATACAGAAGCACTCGCTTCGTATGCAGTTCGTCACTGCTTTTTCACTATTTTTTGGGGTCGTCCAAGAAGCTGATGATCCTTATTGGGCTAGTTTGGCTTTCTTGAAGTTGTGGCCATACTCAGATAGCGTAATCGAGCGCTTCAAAAGCTGTGAGCCTTGTGTGCACGATTCAATAGCACGATTCTGTGGAGAATAGAGGGGGATGCTCTTCTCCACGTCACTTGGGTCCGAGGGACTCGACGGGCTCTGCTGACCCTTCATGACCACCACGCAGTCATCAACCCATGTGGTAGTCTGGTCCACAAAGGTCTCTACACTGACAGGATGTTCCTCAACCAGGAATTCTGCGTCGATCTCGACCTTGAAGCCATCGTCCAGCGGTTCGGAGGAATCACTTTCCGCCTCTTTGTGGAGGACATTTACTAGTGTAACCAGTGTGTGGGGCAGCACAGTGGTGTCCACAAATGGGGCCGTGTAGGCGGACAGCACGTGTCTTGCGGCATCTAAAAGACACACCAACTAGCTCATGAGTCCACTAACTCAAGGATAAATAAATAAAAAGGAGGCCAGTCAAGCACCTTTCAAGATGTCCACTGGTGTCTCCAGCACTGTCCACCACGGTCCCTCTTCCGTATTTTCCGACACGTTGCAGAACAGTCCGGCGGCGTACACTGCGGCCCTTGGCAGCCAGCGAAAGCGTCCACCGCCAGACATGTCCACGTGATGGCACTGTCGTTCAGGAAACTCCAGGCCGTTTGCTTCAGCTGTTGCCGCAAAGAGTCTCCCTGTGTTGCCTTCAATGCAACAACCTTGTCCACCGCAGCTGCGATATAACAGAACGAGTGGTCCACGTGCAACTCGAAGCTCAACGCCAGAAGCACATCTCCCTCCAGCTCAAGAATGTCGCTGGCCACGTCAGCTTCGGATAACTCCAGTGACGTCTGCGTCATCAGCGTCTTCGCTAGTCGCTGCACGTCCACGCCCTGCGTCTCATCGTTCTCGGCCTTGGAGGCCAGCAACAAACAGGCAGCTGCCACTCGATGCTCTTCGTGTTCTACCAGTGAGCGCCGCATAAAGAAGCGGTGTAGGAACACGCAAGCTGCGCGTTGAGAGGCCAGCGACAAGTGCAGCGCCGCCGCGAGTCGAGCCACAAGGCGACAGGCAGAGGCGCGGCGCTCCAATTCCGAAGCGAGCGACACACCGTCGAGGCGGGACGGAGAGCGCTGCAGCTCGGTGGCGGAGAACAGCCAGTCTGACGACATGGCGGAGGCCTTGGGGGAGGCAGACGGTGAAGAAGATAAAGCGGCAGGAAGCTGGAGGTGGTGCGCGGGCTCTTCTTGGTGCTTAGACTGGAAATGGCTAAACTGGCCTCAGAACCGGTAGAAAATCTGCATTCTAAGTGGTTAAAAAGAAAAAAGTACCCTTCCCTATTTCTGTTTTGTTGACGAATCAACCGCCAAATTTTGAATTTGAATGCGACGTTGAAGCCACAAATTGGGAGTGATTGTCTTTTGAATTTATTTGCTGTTCAGTCGCAGTTTCAAAGCGGCGAGTTGTGTTGCCTTTGCCTGGATTCTCTGCAAAATCTCCAGCTTTTGAGCCTCCATGCGGTCCACTTCTGCCAGAATAGTTGCCTCCATCTCCGCCACTTGATCTTCAACAGACAGCTCGATGGCAGGCATGTTCATCCGCAAACTGCGTGCAGCTCTCATTATCGAGAAAAGATGACGCTGATCGCCCAACTCGCCTCCTTGCTGCAAGACCCCTGCTCGCCATGCTGCTTGCAACAACTTTGCCGCGTTGTGGCGGGTCGCCTTTTCCCACCACTCCAATTCAATGAGATATTTCACTATTTTTTCGTTTGGTGAAAGATCGAGGAAGTTGAAGAAAAGGGACTGGACAAGTGCCACAATGAACACGCCGCAAAACATGCCACCAACGACCGCAAAGACTCGACCAAGATACGTCACGGGAAAGTAATCGCCCAAACCGGTCCCAGACTATTCCAACAAGTCTGCCGCGTAAGTATTTTATCGCACACTTGAACGTCTAAAAAGAAATGCACGTACCAGAGTGGTGATTGTAAACCAGACAACCTTCCAGTAGCTGTCAAAGGCAGCTTGGACAGGTCGCTCCAGGACACGCACAATTGCAGCCGTAAGCAGCGTAATTAGCGCTATTAGTGGCAGTAGAATATTAAGCGGATGCAACTTGAAAATGGTCTTAAAGTGAAAAAATGGCTTCATCGCATCCACTCCGTTCAACGAGCCCACGAGTGAAATCCATGGTGAGTGCAGGGCCGACGAGCTACGAGCAAATCGCGCTAACAAATACAACCTCGCCACCATGAACACACCCAGAACCTCCACAGGGTACTGATACACCACATAACACGCCTCTCCTCTTTTCACAGTTTCAATCCCTCGCTGCAAAGATTCGCAGATCGAGTTATCGTGTCGACTTAACTGTCCGTGTAGTTGCATGATCTCAAACTTTCCGCCAAGTCCTGGCGGAATGTGGAAGCTGCAGATAATTAGCTCCAGTACCAGCAATATGTGTCTCCATAGTGAGAATTTCGCTCTGCTGGACGGAACAGAGCACTGCAATTGATTCACGCGGCCGTCGCAGCGATATCGCAGCACCAGAAGCGCATCCAACAGCACTGTTGATGTTAGTACCAAAATCTTGACAATCAGCAGGGCAAGCTCCGATTTTGACGATATTTTGTCATTGCGCTCCACAATTTCGTTTTCCACGAGCATCAAGGCAATGCCTAGCAGTCCTACCATGCAGGACGAGAGCTCATAGCGACGACGGTGTTTAAATTGCTGGAAATATCGTAATAATCGACAAAGTCATTCACCAATAAGCAACTGGGATAATTTCGCTAGTACGGTGACCACTAGATACCTTCTGGAGGTTGATTAGGAAGTGCGCGGGGGCGCATTGCGAGTTGGTAGAGTCGAATCTCTCAGCGGCAGCCGCCTCCAGCTTCATCGCAAAAAAAATCAGAATATTCTTGCTAGAAACGTTTCTAAAATATATTGTAAATACAATTGTCTAAGTTGAAGTGAGAATGCATTCTCTCTATCTCTACGCAGTGATCACGCGCACACCGGCCGTCGACACACGCTCTGCCGATAAAATGTCTGGCTGCGTGATGAACATCATGTTACGTGGCACGTTCATCGAGCGCGACAGCCACTCGATCATCGCCGGACCGAATTCTCCGTGCACTGACACAAAGTCGATACGGATCTTCGGATACATGCTGTCGAACAACGCAGCCATCTCGCGGAACGTCGCAAGTATCGGTGCATCGGCTTCCTCATCCGCAAATACGTGCACGATACGAAGCGTGTGGGTCTGTTCGTTACGACGCACATAGATAATTGCCTTGTTGATAATAGTCAGGTCGGGCACCTTGCAGAAGAAGACAATAGGCGCGTTGCGGATACTGATAATCGTACGCGCAATCGTGCGTCCACCACGTGCACCAGTGTGCTCCACTTCCGGTGTACCGTCGTCCACCATGCCAATGATAGTCTCCTTCCCCATACGAGACGGCGCCACACTCTGCAGAAACACCAGAACAACGCGAAGGATCGTGACACGCTCGAACATGACGAAGATTACGAGCATGACGACCATGAAGTAGATAGCGAAATACATGAGCACGGATGGATCGCCCAGTAGGTTCGCGAAAATGCCCACTACGACCAGCAGGAACCCGACGATAACGACTGTCCACGACGCGTGGATGTCTCGTGGGATCTCGGAGCGTTTGCCTTTAAGTAACATACAGGCACACGAGAACATGGCCATAAGTCCAAGGAAGGCGTACGTGTAGACTCCATTGACGGTGGAGGCATCGGCGTTCAGGATCAACACGAGACTAGATGCAAGTACGAAGTAGATGCCGATGATGTTGTGGTTGGTACCGCGTAGCTTGTTCTTGTTAGCTAGGAAGGCCGGTAGGACTCGGTCACTTGACAAACGTTGAACAAGACCACAGATACCGACGTACGACGTCAAGACAGCGCCGCACAGGACAACAAAGGCGTCGATGCAAACCCACGTCTCGAACCAGCTCCCCACCGCCACGTGTCCTACTTTTGCCAGCAAGGCGTCACCATGTGCGTAGATGCCGTCGTCACCTCCAAGCGGCAGTACAGCTAGGATCCCAGCACCCAAGCCTATGTTAAAGAAGGTGACGAGTGCCCACATGTTGCGTAGAGTCTTCCGGAAGACACCTGGGGCCTGTTCCTCGACGTAATTCGACGAGGATTCAAACCCCGTGATACCCAACATGGAAGCGCCGAATCCAAAGAAAATCGATGTGAACACGTTACCATCAAGTAGAGAACCTGCAAAGTCCACCTCGGGCAACTCCGTGTGCATATTGTCACTGAAGATGTGGGAATGGTTAACACCGTAGACTACACACGACACGAAGAGGATACTAAGCACGACGATGTGGTGTAGGAAAATGACAACAGCCACGCGCGAGCTTTCGGCAGTACCCAATGCTGACAGTAGAGCGAAAGCTCCAAGGAGGATGATCGTGCATCCGACAATCGGGATCTCCACCTGGTTGTTGAGATAGCGCACACCCGACGTCGCGGACACCACACCCGTCGCCACGTAGGATAAAATACTCAGACACGCTGCTACAGCGGCCGTGCGTTTAGACGTCGTGTTGAGTAGAGCGTTGTAGGTGCCTCCATTCAATGGGATGGCGGTAACGACTTCTTCGTAGATGAAGCGGAACGAAAACAGTACAGCTGACACCATGATCAGAGGAATGGGCATGAGTTTGCCGGATTTCGCAGCCACCGACGACGCCGAGTACAGCACACTGGATAGGATATCATTGCCACAGATAGCAGTGGCAGGAAGCTCGCCAAGAACCGTGCGAGGCTTGTCCAGCTCGACCTGGATGTCGGCCAGACCCGATTCAGGAACCTGTACATGCTCTGAAGTACCGAACCCAGGGAACTGCCACGTCGGGCCCTTGGGACCTTTGTCTACCACTTCGATTTCGATCCTGCGACGCCGAAGGTTTAGAACGTGCGAACCCCCCAACTTCGGGGAAGAAGTCTGTCGGTAGAACGGCGCGGGTGACGCCAATAAGGCTCCGTTCGTCTTGGTATCTTGATCCATGGGTTTGACTTGAGGTTAAGTAAACGAGGACACGACGCAGTTGGACGCTCTTTTAGGTAAGAGAGAGAATGAATTCGAAGGCGACGTTCCCAACCCAGTCGCAGGCAGAGAGAAGCTATGTGCGGCGTTCCTATTTAAGATCTTCCGTCTGATTGGAGGTTGCTAACGCTACTGGATCGACTGCTGTTGTGGGCTGGTTGGATCAACCGTGGATCAGATGCCATTTGCTTCTTTGGTTCCTGCTCCAGCAAAAATTTGAATCTGGTGTCCAGTATTTGTTGGCTTGAAACGACTATTGTACTGGCGAGATGAAATGCAACACCAAACATTGTGTAACGACGCACCAACGTCACAGCCAGCGATGGCCATGACGTTGGTACCAAGGCGTCCTACTTTCTTCTATTTCTTTCCTACTTGTCTTTGCTGACTGCCAACTGTCTTCTTAAGTTGCCAATGAGCGGCCAGGCAGACACACGCCTGACCGGAAGGCAATCACCATGTTTGGACGAGTATTGCCAAACATGGAGCTTCAATGACAGTCATTCTTTTTCCTTTGAATTCACTATGGAGATTCTGACCCGGTTCAAATGAACCGCAGTTCACTACTACGCTACGCTACTTCAAGATTCGACTCAAGGACTACTTAGAATGTAGTATAGTGAAATGCATATACTTACATAGGATACCAAGGGAATGCTAACAAGCACTTCCTTGTAGCCGACAAACAGCTAACCATTTCAATCTCACTTTCCAATTTACCTTCTTCGAGGCACATTAACTGCCTCCTACGCCTTACCTTCGAGTTCCCATCGTTGGACTCTCGCCGCCCTCCTCCGCTTCGCTCCTCGCCACGCGACTCGCTCCTCGTCGCTGTTCCTCTGCGCCGTGCTCTTACCAGTCGTCACATCTGGTAGCACTTGCTGTTTTTCGTCCAGGAGAGGGTTCTTCATTCTCTATTCGCTACGCGACACGTGGAAAGCCGCTCGTTGAGCGTGTGTCGTCGTTCTTCGTCTCCACATTTGTAAGATTTCTTCGTTGCGACCTCATTTCATACGGCTTGCCGCGTTGAAATTTTGCGTGTGTACTGCACTAAGCGTCTGGTCTATAAGAACCGGATCAAGTTAGTACCCGTACCTAACGTCGCATCCTTCATCAGCGTTATCGTTGATTGCGTGTGTACTGTAAGTGTCTGGTCTATAAGAACCGGATCAATGCAGTACCTGCACCCCTCGTCGCTGTCCATCTGTACCCGACTACCTTTTCGGCACGTCATCGCTGAATTTTACGACAATCAACCATGACTTCCTTGAATCCTCAAGGATGGTCTACTGACGCTATCACGCAGAAACTCATCGAAATGGTTGACAAGCAGCAACAACTGCTTGAAGCCATGAGTAAGCGTGAAGTGAAAGTGGAAGATATCCGTCTGCCTGAATTTCATGGCATGATGGGAGAATCTGTTGATTTGTACTTCGAGACACTTGCTCAGTACTTTGATGCCAAAAACATCGATTGGCAAAACGACAACCAAAGTTCTCGAATTTTGGCCATTACTACTGCGAACTTTAAAGGAAATGCTGCCGCTTGGTACAAGCTGAACAAGCGTGATATCAAGGACATGCAGGACCTTATGGCCCGGTTGACCGATGAATTTGTGCCTCCGGATTTGCAAGAGCGTTTGCGTGATCAATTGTACGCGCTCAAGCAGAAATTTTGCTCTAGCTTGGAAGATTACATCTCTCGCTTCCGTGAAACCATCATGCAAGTGACAGACATGAGTGAGTTGGACAAGATCACTTACTTCACACGTGGACTAGTCAGTCCTACGCGCGAAGAGGTGCAATATCGTCGCTGTACAACAGTGTCGCAAGCAATGAAGATTGCTTTGGAGTATGATCGATCGCAACATGTCTGCGGTAAGAACTATCGTCCACCGTTCTTTTCGCAGGACCGATCACGCTCTCAGTCCAACAACAATTCGCACCAAAAGCAAGCCACGCCTATGCGCGCTCATGAGAACGAGCCCGAGCCAATGGGAATTGACTCAGGGAGTACTAGAAATCGCCGTTCTGCTTCTTCTTCGTCGTCTAACAAGCGATGTCGCTACTGCCAGAAGTCTGGTCATGTCATTGAGCAGTGCTTCAAGTTGAAGAACAAGGAGAAGTATGCTCGAAAGAACCGTCACGAGCAATCTGCCGCGAACTTTAATTCTTCTTCTCCTACAACTGCTGCTGCCGAACGAGTGTCTATGACCCGTTCCGATGACGAGGTTGAGGTTGTTGAAGTGGAAGAGATTTCCACGTCACCTTGTCGTCCATGCATCGTGAGAACGAGCTCATTCGTAAACAAGGGACTTGTGATGGGAAACCTGTCGTTATCATGTTCGACAGTGGTGCTACGTGCAATGTTGTTTGCCCAGGGTTAGTCGCTAACACCGCTACGTCTGGTGTCTCACAAGTCACTCGGTTCGATGGAACTTCTACGAAAGCGCGTTATGTCAAGAAAGATCAAGCGACTATTGAATGCGGTCGCTACCTTTTCCGAAATCTTCAAGTCATGGAATGGTCACTTGGATCTGCCCATGATGTCATCTTGGGAAAACCTTGGTTTACCAAGTTTTAGCCATGTATCAATTGGCGTTCGCATGAGATTTCGTTTCCAAGTGTGTCTTGTGCACCTCCATCAACGGTTGCTAGTCAAGCAGCTGTGGAGATTGCTGCTCTTGACTTTAAACGTAACGTGAAGAAACATGTGTACAAGGAAGTGTACCGTGTCAAAATTTGTGCGGTCACGCCAGTTAGTGAGTCGACTCCTGTTCCGATCACTCACTTATTGAAGCGTTTTACTGACGTCTTTCCGGAAACTTTACTGGATGGCTTACCGCCTTCACGTCGTGTGGATTTCGAGCTCCACATGAAACCTGATGCTGTTCCAAGTAGCCGTGCTCCGTTCCGCCTGTCTAAGGTTGAGCAGGATGCACTGGATCTCTTCGTTGCAGAGAAGCTGAAGAAAGGATGGATCGAAGTTTCTGATTCTCCTTGGGTGTCCAACATCTTTGGGATTCCAAAGGAAGATCCTACTTCTGGACATCAGCTGTCTCGCTCTGAGTGGGTACGCTCTGGAAACTCGACTTTGCCTATCCGTTGGGTCATCGACTATCGCTATGTGAACTCGCAGTCGATTGTTCCAAAGATTCCACTGCCTCGCATCGACGAACTCTTCGATCAGATGTCTGGTTGTGTCATCTTTTCACCTCTAGATTGGGCTCAAGGATATCACCAGATGCGTATCGCGCTCAAGAGTCGCAAGTATACCGCCTTTCGCACGCACGCTGAAACTTACCAGTGGTGTGTAGCTCCTATGGGATTGGCCGGTATGCCTGGTGTTTGGTCTCGCCTCATGAGGGTACTCCTTGCGAAGTACCGATTCATTGTTGTCTACTTGGATGACATTTTTGTCTTTTACACCAGTCTGCAAGAGCATGTTGAGCATCTTCAAACTCTCTTCGAGGTTCGACGTCGTGAGAATTTGTTCTGCCATCTCTCGAAGTGTCACTTCGGTCAGTCCGAAGTTAAGTTTCTCGGCCATACGACTTCTGCCAAAGGACTTGCTGTTGATACTCGCAAGACTGAAGCAATTGCAAAGTGGCCTACGCCACTAAACCAAAAGCAACTACAAAGCTTTTTGGGTCTCGCAGGCTATTACCGTCGCTTTATCCGTGATTGCGCCATTATTGCGTTGCCTCTTGGTTCTCTTGTCAAGAAAGAACATGTCTGGAGCTGGGGTCCAGAACAGACGCGTTCATTTGAGGAAATCAAATCCGCTCTTCAAGAAGCACCCGTGTTACAGTTACCGGATTACGAGAAACGTTTCATCGTGACAGCAGATGCCTCTGGCTACTGTGTTGGTGGCGTTATCTCTCAAGTTCGTTCCGGTCAAGATCATCCGATAGCCTTCTTCTCGAAGAAACTTGGTCCTCACGAGATTAATTGGCCAACACACGAGAAAGAACGCTTCGCTATTAAATTAGCGTTAGACAAGTGGCGTCACTATCTATATGGTCGTGAATTTGATATCTACACGGACAACACTGCTTGCAAATGGTTTTTGCACCACCCGAAGGTTTCAGCGAAATTTGCTCGCTATTTGACGTTTTTCGCACAGTTTACGTTCAAGTTGCATCACGTTAAGGGACACCTCAACGTGGTTGCCGATGCCTTGTCGCGTCAATCTTCGGAGCATGCGATCAATACGGTTTCGTTTCATCAGTGTACCACGCGCTGCCACACCCGTGCAGCTCGAAACCTGACGAATCGACGCGTTATTACCGACTACCGCAGTCTTAACCAACATTTGGTTCGACCACCCTCTCGCCCTCAATTTCGTGGGGAGGATGTTGCTGCTGGTTACTACACGCGCCCTGTTCCGACCTTGGCTCAGCTTACCGCCATGTACCAGTGGAAACTTCACGTACCGTCGCTGCGGCTGAGAATATTGTTGTGGCCACCAACCCGAGCGAGCTCCAATTTTGAGCTTGTTGGGTAAACAAGCTCAAAATTGGAGCTCGCTCGGTTGGTCTGATTCGATTAGAAGAGAATTCGCTGCTCGATATCGCAAATTTCCCAGACTGCGGAGAACGTTTTAAGCATCCGGAACAACCATTTGTCAAACAAAATGGTTTACATTTCCGCAAGTATCAGACGATGATGCGCTTGTGTGTTCCGTTTACTCGGGACAATCATCTTCGAACTTCCATCATCTCTTGCTTCCATGACTCCAATATTGCTGCTCATCCTGGAGCTCATCGAACGTACCTTCGCATTTCGAAATGGTATCATGGGCCCACCTTGGACCAAGACGTTCGCGATTATGTGCAAAGTTGTAAAACTTGCACTCGCTGGAAACACAGCAATGCTCGCAAGAATGGCAAGATGATTCCCATTCCGATTCCTGGGGAATGCTGGTCTGTCGTCTCTATGGACTTTATCACTGGATTACCTGATTCCAATGGTTTTGATGCAATCTTGACTGTTGTCGACAAGTTGTCCAAGCGCCCGAAGTATCGTGCGTGCAACCGGACTGATGATGCACAGAAGACTGCGTATCACTTCTTTGATTGCGTTGTTCGCCATCACGGTTTACCATCGATCATCATCAGCGATCGAGATTCCAAGTTTGTCTCCAAGTTCTGGTCATCCTTGGCTAAGCTAATGGGAATCGTCTGCACATGACAACTTCCTATCGTGCCCAAGCCGATGGACAAGCCGTGCGCCAGAATCTGATTCTGGAAGACGCTCTACGCTGCATGATATCGTACCACGGACGTGATTGGTCGGATAATCTCGGAACGATTGCGAATGCTCATGCTACTTTCGTCAGCGCATCTACCGGTATGTCGCCCTTTGAAGTTGATACTGGACGCAAGGAACGGAATCCGCTGAATCCTTTGAGCAATCCCAGTACCATGACTCAAATTCAGCGTGGAAAATATATGCATATATTTTTCCACGCTGAATTTGGGTATGCATAACAGTTCCAAGACAAACGTCAAGAGATCATTGATTTGGCAAAGAAGCATCTTCTTCAAGCCCAAGAACGTCAGAAGAAGTACTATGACAAGAAGCGATCATCGATCACGTTCAATGTGGACGTGTTGAGTCATTACGTTGAAAACGTTTTAAGACTCGTCCTATCCCAAAGGCCTCAAGACTGATTATTGACGACGACACTGGCGCAATGATGCACATCATCGAGAAGCTTCTTCGCAAGCGTCAATTCAATCGCAAACCTGAATGGCTTGTGAAATGACACGGATTACCAGATCACGAAGCAACCTAAAGAGCGCGAAAAAGACATCCGCCATGTGTCGCATTGGAAGGTTCTCGTTTCCGACTTCAACAAGCGTCAACGAGAAGTCAAGTCCGGGAGGATGTAACGACACACCAACGTCACAGCCAGCGATGGCCATGACGTTGGTACTAAGGCGTCCTACTTTCTTTTATTTCTTTCCTACTTGTCTTTGCTGACTGCCAACTGTCTTCTTAAGTTGCCAATGAGCGGCCAGGCAGACACACGCCTGACCGGAAGGCAATCACCATGTTTGGACGAGTATTGCCAAACATGGAACTTCAATGATAGTCATTCTTTTTCATTTGAATTCACTATGGAGATTCTGACCCGGTTCAAATGAACCGTGGTTCACTACTACGCTACGCTACTTCAAGATTCGACTCAAGGACTCCTTAGAATGTAGTATAGTGAAATGCATATACTTACATAGGATACCAAGGGAATGCTAACAAGCACTTCCTCGTAGCCGACAAACAACTAACCATTTCAATCTCACTTTCCAATTTACCTTCTTCGAGGCACATTAACTGCCTCCTACGCCTTACCTTCGAGTTCCCATCGTTGGACTCTCGCCGCCCTCCTCCGCTTCGCTCCTCGCCACGCGACTCGCTCCTCGTCGCTGTTCCTCTGCGCCGTGCTCTCACCAGTCGTCACACATTGCCCCTTCACAACTTCTCATCCAATTACCCAATTTATATGAGCTTTTTTTGCTGGAAAGATAACGATTTCTTCTCTTAAGTAGTCATAATTTTTCTTGAATATCTGCTCAAATGCACGTGCTACACTTAATCGAAAAGTGCGTGTCTTTCGTTCCGCCCAAAAAATCGAGGCTATGTTCTTGACATGTGGCATCAGATGTTTTGGTCCTTACAAACTTTATTATTACAATCAACAATGCCCTTTTTACTCATTTCTATGCACATTTGACCCTAGGAAGTGGGGCTGTCGGCGATGCGTTTAACACTGCATGCAGCAATCCCTACGCTGCTCCTGTAGCTAAGACCAACTTCTGCAGATGCGCTGCATTCCAAGCTGCATTCTGGCGTAAAGCTTGTCACTTTAGGCTTCATTGTCTATTAAATATCGCAAGAAATGCTCTGTGCATGCATGATCAGCATCAATTTCCCGCAGACGTTAGAGCTTCCACCATTTTAATAGAAGACAAGAAAGTCAAACAATGTGTTTGTCGGTGATCTCTGTGCTACCCTGTTTCCATTGCGGGTCTGCCGGCATTATTCCGATAATTACTTTTGTATTTATGGGCAAAACAAAAAAATGGTGGTGCATTTTATCTCGCCAGTACAATAGGCGGAAAACAGCAGAAATGATGAGTCGCCCGTCTCAGAAATGCTTTTTGTGACGCCTCTAGCATCACACACGAGCTCGCGGTATTACTTCGTGCGGTATAAGAAGCTTAGCAGTGCCCAACAAGTTGTTAGAAATGTAATTGCAGAATTTGCCCTTTTAATGTGTAAAATTTATGATTTAATTTGCAGCTTTTCCAGAAAATCAAGTTGAAGTGGAAAAACGTGGGGCCTTGCATTGTTCTTGCTTTGAATTGTTTCACCGAGCTGCAACGTACTGTACTTGCGTTGCGGTAATGAAATAACTACTACAACGGGCCGTTGCCAAGTACCTTACCGTAAGGTCGTTTGAAGTATTCTTCGGATGTGGTATTTCACAAGACAAAAATACCGAAACTGGAACGTAGAACTTCTAGCAAAAGGTGAAAGGAGCACACGCGTCCCTCGGGCCCATGTCAAGAACGACAACTTGAGATATTGGATAATCATTACAAACTGCAAGCAAAAGAACCTGACAAAGTCAAGCGCGCGCTATCAGGCCGTGATAACACGGACGCTGACGGACGAAACGCGCTCAGCCGACACCATATCGGGCTGTGTGATGAACATCATGTTGCGCGGCACGTCCATCTTCTTGGACAGCCACTCGATCGTCGCGGGATTGAACTCGCCCTGCACAGACATGAAGTCGATGCGGATCTTCGGGTACATACTGTCGAACAGCACCGCCAGGTTACGGAATGCCTCCAGTACGTGGACGTCGCTCTCTTCGCCCGAGAAGACATGCACGATACGGAGTGTGTGCGTCTGCTCATTGCGACGCACGTAGACGATCACCTTGTTGATGATCGTCAAGTCCGGCCGCTTGCAGAAGAAGACGATAGGAGCACTAAGGATACTCGTGATGACTCGAGCGATCGTGCGACCTCCACGCGCTCCTGTGTGCTCCACCTCTGGGGTATCTCGCGTTCGGAAATAGCTGACCGCAGTGTCCTTCGCGTACTGTGACGGCGCCGTCTTCTTTATCAACGTCACGGACAACGCAGAATCATAACACGCTCGAACATGATGAACATGACAAGAGCCACGGAGATGAAGTACAACGCAAAGTACATCAACACCGACGGATCTCCGAGCAGATTAGCGAAAATCGCCACTACCACCATGATCAGCCCAAGCACCAGTACCGACCACGGCGCAATGACGTCGCGTGGGATTTCAGGACGTTTCGTCTTCAGTAGCATAGCAGCACTGGCGAACAGCGCCATCAAACCCTGGAACGCGTACGTGTATACACCGTTCATGATACCGGAGTCTGCATCGAGGAGCAGCACAAGACTCGCAGACAAGAGGAAGAACGCGCCGATGATGTTGTGGTTCGTACCGCGCAACTCGTTGGTCGTGGCCAAGAAACTTGGCAACACTCGGTCCGTTGCAAGTCGACGCACCAATCCACAAATACCGACGTACGAGGTCAGAACAGAACCCGAGAGGACAATGAATGCATCGACGCTGACCCAGGTACTGAACCGACTTCCAAGAGACTCCTCAGCGGCTTTTGACAATAAAGCATCAGAGCTTGCATAGATGCCGTTGTCGCCACCAAGTGGCAACACGGCTAGGATTCCCATTCCGAAAGAGATGTTGAAGATGGTCGTTGGCAGAGCTGCGTTGCGTAACGTCTTGCGGAACACTCCTGGCGCCTGTTCCTCGACGTAGTTGGAAGAGGATTCGAATCCTGTTATGCCAAGCATGGCAGCTCCAAAGCCGAAGAACACGGCAGTGAACGCACTGCCGTCCACCATCTTTCCAGCGATATTTACATCAGGAAACTCAGTCGACATATTCTCGCGGGAGACACTGGAATTCTAAATACCGTACACCATGCACGATATCACTAATGTAGTCAAGACAACAATGTGATGAAGGAAAATAATAAGTGCCACACGGGAATTGGCAACAATGCCAAGAAGTGCCAAAAGGCCAAAAACCAGCAGAAGCGCAACTGTACAGGCCACAATCGGAAGTTTTACTTGTGTAGAGGAAATGAACGCCCGAAATGGCGGCAACGACACCAGTTGCCACATACGATAAAATTCCCAAACACGCAGCGACTGTAGCTGTGGACTTGGATGTGGCATTAAGTAACGCGTTGTATGTGCCTCCATTCATCGGGATAGCAGTGATCACCTCGGCGTACATGAGCTTGTATAGTTGTACAACAATGGAAACCATGAGAAGTGGAACGGGTGTAACTTTCCCAGCCTTTGCAGCTACATTGGATACAGAGTACAGAACACTTCCCAAAAAGTCGTTGCCGATGATAGCAGTGGCTGGCCACTCGGAGAGAAGCTCATGGGGCGGAGTTAAATGAACATTGGCGAGTTCCGTATCAGGTATGTACAGCCGCTGGGAGGAGCCGAAGCCTGGGAATTTCCACGTTGGTCCCCTCGATGCGTTTTCCACCACTTCAAGATGAATCGTGCGGCGTCTAAAAGTTGCAGCGGGAACAGAAGTGTTGGTCTGTGGTTGACATGAACATCAAGCAAAAGTAGAAATGGTCGGCAACTGTGGGCCCTCGAAAGCCACCCACATGAAAATCCAGGAGAGCGTCGTCTCAGTCAAATAATTTCAGGCAATTTACTAGCGAAGATTTTTGCACTGTTTGCATCGTTCAAACTTCAAATATCACGGGACGTTTTTAAAAGGCAAGCAAACTGTATTAACAATAAAATTGTGCTCGCAAGAAGGTTCATATTCACTTGTATCATGCCGTGATGACTCGCACGCCGGCCGTCGACACACGTTCGGCTGAAATCAAATCCGGCTGCGTGATGAACATCATGTTGCGTGGCACATTCATCGAGCGCGACAGCCACTCGATCATCGCCGGACCGAACTCGCCGCGCACCGACACAAAGTCGACACGGATCTTCGGATACATGCTGTCGAGCAACGCAGCCATCTCACGGAACGTCGCAAGTATCGGTGCATCGGCTTCCTCATCCGCAAATACGTGCACGATACGAAGCGTGTGGGTCTGTTCGTTACGACGCACATAGATAATTGCCTTGTTGATAATAGTCAGGTCGGGCACCTTGCAGAAGAAGACAATAGGCGCGTTGCGGATACTGATAATCGTACGCGCAATCGTGCGTCCTCCACGCGCGCCCGTGTGTTCCACCTCCGAGTTGTCAGTAGTGAGACCGACCGCAGCCGCCTTACCATAACGAGACGGCGCCATCTTCTTCAACATGACCAGCATGCAACGCAAAATTGTAACACGTTCGAACATGATGAACATGGCGAGCATGACGACGATAAAGTAGATGGCAAAGTACATGAGCACAGACGGGTCACCCAGCAAGTTGGCAAAAATGGCAACTACAACCAGAATGAAGCCAATGATAACCGTAGCCCATGGCGCGTGGATGTCACGTGGAATCTCCGAGCGTTTTCCCTTCAGCAACATGCAGGCACACGAGAACATGGCCATCAGACCAAGAAACGCGTACGTGTACACACCGTTCACCGTAGTGGCGTCAGCGTTCAGAATGAGAACGAGACTCGACGAGAGCAAGAAATAGATGCCGATAATGTAGTGGTTTGTGCCTCGTAGCTTGTTAGTTCTCGCCAGGAAGGCCGGCAACACACGGTCCGTTGATAGACGACGTACGAGACCACAGATACCGACATAGGACGTCAGTACGGCGCCGGACAGCACGATGAAGGCGTCGACACAGATCCATGACTCAAACCAGCTTCCCACGGATTCTCGGCCAACCATTGCAAGTAGATCATCGGAGCTGTGGTAGATGCCACCATCACCTTCAAGTGGCAACACCGCGAGGATCCCGGCACCGAGTCCGACGTTAAAGAACGTGACGAGCGCCCACATGTTGCGTAGAGTCTGGCGGAAGACGCCTGGCTTCTGCTCCTCGACGTAGTTGGACGAGGACTCAAAGCCAGTGATACCGAGCATGGAGGCACCAAAGCCGAAGAAAATGGCAGTGAACACGTTGCCGTCCAACATGGAGCCGGCGAAATCCACTTCTGGGTAGCCGGCATGTGGTCGCGGAACACATGAGGGTGGTTGATGCCGTAGACAATACACGACACTAAGAGGATGAGCAGGACGAGGATGTGGTGCAAAAAGATGACGACGGCAACACGTGAGCTCTCGGTGATTCCGATCACGGCCAAAATGGCAAATGCTCCAAGCAGAATGATGGTCGCTCCAACAATAGGAATGTCAATCTGGTTGTTCAGGTAGCGGACACCCGAAGTTGCCGAAACGACGCCAGTTGCCACATAGGACAAAATGCTGAGACAGGCGGCCACCGCGGCGGTGCGTTTCGACGTCGTGTTCAAGAGCGCGTTGTAGGTACCACCGTTCAAAGGGATGGCTGTTACCACTTCTTCATAAATGAAACGAAAGAAGAAGAGCACAGTGGAGACCATGAGGAGAGGGATGGGCATGAGTTTGCCGGCCTTGGCAGCCACCGACGACGCCGAGTAGAGAACACTGGACAGAATGTCATTGCCCGAGATGGAAGTGGCTGGTAATTGGCCCAGTAGTTTCTTTGGCTGGTCCAGTTCCTTCTGGATCTCGGTCAGTTCGCCTTGTGGCACTTGAACGTGCTCCGAAGAGCCCGAACCGGGAAATTGCCACGTCGGACCCTTGCGAGCACCTTCAACGATCTCGATCTCGATCTTGCGGCGACGAAGGTTCAAGGCTCGGGAGCTTGTGCCTGAGCTCGGAACACGGGGTGACAAAACCTCCATGTAGGCTGCCGATGGCACCTGGAGGTTGCCAGTGGTGCTTCCGCCTTCTCCAGCACTCGAGACCATTGCGACTTGGACTGGGATACAGTACTTGACAATTACACGGGACTTTTCAACTGCCTCGGATGTGGCGAAAAGCGGATGCCAAACTTTTTTGCGCTTGAGTGGCAAGTACAGCGCGCTTAAATCGCGATATATGGCGATTTGTATTGATCACTTCAATATCCAAGTCAAGTCGGCGCTTCATTCAGAGTAAGGACAGGACATCATGATGTCTGCTGCCCCTGTACCCATAACAATGTTACCTTGGAGATAAGGGTCATCTCTCCCATCATATTTTGGATTGAGATTCCTGCATCTTCAGGGCTTTGAGGCGGGCGATTTAACGGATCCGTGGCTTTTGCGGGACCATGACATCCGTCCTGCTTGCCAAGAGATCTGACAGAGACTGCACCACATGGTCAAAGATCAAAGCTGAAGAACTTCGCGCTAAAATCGGACGGCAATTGCTCCGGTTCAAACGACGTGCATGCAAGATGGCATTGCGGGCATGCTCGGCTTCCGGATGGGCTTAGAAAAAAGTGGGAGTATGCCGAAATGTGTAGGAGTGAACAAATGTTTTGCACTTCATTGACACGTGATTCTGACCAACATCTCGGCGGACAAGCCCAAGTCAGGCGGAGGTAAAACCCTCATGAGAAATGACGGATGCCGTACATACGCCTTAGTGACTTGGTAGAAACATTTTGCACATATTCGAAGTTGCCAGGTTTTAGTGTGTCGTAGTAAGGAAACAGTAGCTGGTTTTTGCAGCCAGATTCGCGTCGAGCACCATTCATCGACTTGTATACGCACATCCTACGCATTTGTACAGTTATTCTCAGTCGTCAGAAAGCGCTTTTGTTTCATGCGTAGATTGACAATTTCAAATACATGTAGCAAATCTGAAGTGCGGACAAACGAAACATGGCTTCGCCCAACATTTCGTTGTCAAGAAACGGACATTTTGCTGAAAAAGGGGCGATGCAATGTCTCGTCACATGTGAAAAAAATCCAGCGCCAGTCGCCCGCCAAATTGATTGCAGCCTTCACATAAACTCACCTATCCGTCCAGCAACCTTGAGTCGGGATCTTCTGGAAGCAATTGCCCCGGAGAACCGTTGCCGCGAGGCCGAAAGTGACTGAATCGGAGTGCAACTCGACTTTGCACTACATGTATCCAGCTTCTGTGAGCCAGTAGACCAGCTCTGCTGAGTTGTTTGTCCTTTGCGAACCAAGCCAGACCAAAGTGGATCCCAGATAGGACAAAACAACCGACGTCGTTTAGACGGCGTTTTGTGGATTTGTGGTTTTGTTGACAAGCACAGCCCGTGCAAGAAAAAAATGTTGGTGCCGAGGCAAGCAATTCGACTAAGAGAAGCTTTCCGCATTTGCTGCTACATCTGAGGAATGCGGGACACAGAGACAAAGAGCATGTGATTCGTGTGCAGACCGCATCGCCAAATTGCCAATGTGAAATTGGTGACTCTTTCGAGCAGATGGACTCCAATAATTAATAATGGAGCCCATCTGCTCGACATGATGATTATGGAGTGACAGCAACTGTTTTATTGACAACTGAAAAGTTTTGAGGCGGTGGAACCGCCACTCCTACAAAACTCGAAGCCCCTTTCGCGAATGGGAGAGTACTGTATTCATACGCCTGCCAGAGGGAGGGAGGGAGGGATGACCCGCCTTGATTTTTCCACTCTGTTCTCCTTCGGGATGACCCGGGGTTGGCGACGATATTGTAGAAGGCTTACTGAAGTACAATACTTCTTCGAGTATTGCACTATATCTGATAGAAGGAGGATATACTACATCAGGGCAGTACATGCTGGCATTTGGCAACACCTTTCAGCTCTGCACTATTCCTCATTTTGCGGGGTCGGTCTCACTTCTCGCCCTTACAACATCCAAGTTTTCCATGGACCTGACAGGCAGGAAGCCCGAAAATATAATTTATATCAATTTCAAAGGACATCGAGAAATACATAACGCGCGGCAACCTAAGAACTCAGCAAATAAATAATTGGAGCGGGGACATTGCAAACGTAAATTATTAGTGAAATAAACTACCAAGCCTGGGTGAAGCCGCCTAAATGCAAGCATCCACGGTGGTGAAAGAAGATAGTAGGTTTTGTTGGGGTGTTCCTGAAGTTGCAGAATGAGCTAGAATATGCGATTCGGAGAAGTCGAGGGGCTCCAAACCAACCACAAACTGTTGGTAGTTGTTGTCCGGGAAAATAAATGCTGGGCCGTCGTACCCAATGTCCGTCGGCGCAAGATTGAGATTGAAGTGGAGGAAGGTGCAGCCCGAGGCCCTCCCTACCTGGCAGTTCCCCCGCTCCGGCACTTCGCAGCATGTACATGTGCCTGAATCCGAACTTGCTGACATCCAACACCAAATAGACCAACCGCGCAAACTGTTGTCCGAATGGCCTGCCACCGCTATCAGCGGCAACGACATTCTGGGAAGCGTGTTGTATGCAGCTGCGTCGGTGGTCTCCAAAGCCGGCAAACTCATGCCGGTCGCGCTGCTAATGGTGGCTATCGTGCTCTACTTTTTCCGGTTCATCTACGAAGAAGTTGTCACCGCTATCCCCATGAACGGTGGCACCTACAACGCCCTATTGAACACCACCTCGAAGCGTGCAGCCGCTGTAACTGCCTGTCTGAGTATCTTGTCGTACGTGGCCACGGGTGTGGTCTCAGCCACGTCAGGTGTCCATTACCTGGACACCCAGGTGGATATTCCCATTGTCGCCTGCACCATCGCGCTCTTGTTTGTGTTCGCACTGTTGGCACTTGTGGGCATCGCTGAAAATTCCCGTGTCGCTCTCGTCATCTTTCTGCACCACATCGTGGTACTGAGCATTCTGGTGGTGTCATGCGTAGTGCACGGCATCAAAAACCCACACATCTTCCGTGATAACATGGAGGCGGACTTCCCCGAGGTGGACTTTGCTGGCACGATGCTGGACGGCAATGCGTGTTCTTCGGTTTCGGTGCTGCAATGCTGGGTATCACTATTTTTTGAGTCATCGTCCAGCTACGTCGAGGAACAAGCTCCCGGAGTGTTCCGCAAGACCCTACGTAACATGTGGGCCTTGGCCTCCTTCTTCAACGTTTGCCTCGGAGTTGGCATCCTTGCCGTGTTGCCACTTGGTGGCGACAACGGCATCTATGCAAGCTCTGATGCTTTATTGTCAAAAGCCGCTGAGGAGTCTCTTGGAAGTTGGTTCAGTACCTGGGTCAGCGTCGATGCATTCATTGTCCTCTCGGGTTCCGTTCTGACCTCGTACGTCGGTATATGTGGATTGGTGCGTCGACTTGCAACGGACCGAGTGTTGCCAAGTTTCTTGGCCACGACCAACAAGTTACGCGGTACGAACCACAACATCATCGGCGCGTTCTTCCTCTTGTCTGCGAGTCTCGTGCTGCTCCTCGATGCAGACTCCGGTATCATGAACGGTGTATACACGTACGCGTTCCTGGGTTTGATGGCGCTGTTCGCCAGTGCTGCTATGCTACTGAAGGCAAAACGTCCTGAAATCCCACGCGACGTCATTGCGCCGTGGTCGGTACTGGTGCTTGGGCTGATCATGATGGTAGTGGCGATTTTCGCTAATCTGCTCGGAGATCCGTCGGTGTTGATGTACTTTGCGTTGTACTTCATCTCCGTGGCTCTTGTCATGTTCATCATGTTCGAGCGTGTTATGATTCTGCGTTGTCTGTTGGCGTTGATGAAGAAGACGGCGCCGTCACAGTACGCGAAGGACACTGCGGTCAGCTATTTCCGAACGCGAGATACCCCAGAGGTGGAGCACACAGGAGCGCGTGGAGGTCGCACGATCGCTCGAGCCATCACGAGTATCCGTAGTGCTCCTATCGTCTTCTTCTGCAAGCGGCCGGACTTGACGATCATCAACAAGGTGATCGTCTACGTGCGTCGCAATGAGCAGACGCACACACTCCGTATCGTGCATGTCTTCTCGGGCGAAGAGAGCGACGTCCACGTACTGGAGGCATTCCGTAACCTGGCGGTGCTGTTCGACAGTATGTACCCGAAGATCCGCATCGACTTCATGTCTGTGCAGGGCGAGTTCAATCCCGCGACGATCGAGTGGCTGTCCAAGAAGAAGGACGTACCGCGCAACATGATGTTCATCACACAGCCCGATATGGTGTCGGCTGAGTGCGTTTCGTCCGTCGGCGTCCGTGTTATCACGGCATGATAGCGCGCGCTTGACTTTGTCAGGTTCTTTTGCTTGCAGTTTGTAATGATTATCCAATTTCTCAAGTTGTCGCTCTTGAGTCTTGACATGCTTGACATGGGCCCGAGGACGCGTGTACTCCTTTCACATTTTGCTAGAAGTTCTACAACGTTCCAGTTTCGGTATTTTTGTCTAGTGAAATACCACATCCGAAGAGCACTTCGAAAGGACCTTACGGTAAGACTCTTGGAACGGACATTGCAGCCGACATGTCAGCCAGCTACCACGCAAGTAAATGCTCCAGTTGTAGCAACTCGGTGAAGCAAGAAGAATGCATGGCCCACTTCAACTTAATTTTCTGGAAAAGTTGCAATAGAATCATAAACTTTACACAATCAAAGTGCAAATTTTTCAATTACATTTCGGACGCTAATTCGCCGTCGACCACCAGCAACAACTTGTCGGCCATGGGCGTCACCAGGCGAGCTCTGGGACCCGAAGTCAAGTCGCTACAGTACTTTTTAAACCGCACGGCAGTATTGAAGCAATACCGCGAGTTCTTGCGCACCACGAAGCCTCTTGCCGCCGACGTGCGGCTGGACGTGCGACGTCAGATTCGCGCGGGTTTCGACGCCTGCCGGTACGAGGAGGACGAACGTCGCGTGAGTATGCTACTGCGCCAGGCACGCGATCAGCTCAAGATGGTCAGCGACTTGGTAGACACGGCACAGGCCCAGCAGCGCGGCGAACGCGACTGGAAGAAAGGAGATTGGACCTCAGCCAAGACAGTAGACACGCAGGACACATGGATGGACGCGCCTCGAGAGGATAAGGACGGATCAGAAGACGTGAAGGGTCGTGTGGGCACTGGATGGCCCTGGAAGAGCGGCAAAGGCACAGACAAACTTGACCTTGAGGGTATTAAGCGGCGTTGACACAGTGTTACTTCAGTTTTGAGATGAAGAGAGAGGATAGCGTTGATGCAGATAGATAGAGGAGGTGTACTTAAGCCAGATAGATAAAGGATTGGCACTTAAACCAAGGGGGTGAGTGGTCATTACCAGAAGAGCTACAAGACACAAGTCGTATGTTAACATGATGCTAGTGTACCTGTTTATATCAATTGAGCGAGAATGACGGGGATATTAGTCTTACAAAACATTGCATTTTGAAAAAGAAGTGTCGTCATGGCATCGTCTCCGGTGCATTCCGGCGGCCAGGCGGCCATTCTCAAGGTAAGTCGCGGCAGAATTTATTGCCACGACGGTATATGTCCACTCTCGATATCCAGCTGACTATGTATGCGGCGTTTTTGCGCTGTAGCACACGAGAATCATTCTTAACACGACGTTTACAACGACACCTGTGATGCCCTCGCTGAACGAGAATCTGCTTCAAAGAGTAACACGGAGATACTGCGGATTATGGTGCTGCAGCGATGTACTGACACATACAACTGTACTACAATTCAGGACGTGTTCGACTACGATTTCAACCGCGAGCACATCTTCTTGGAGATCGCGGAGGCGGAGATCGCCGCTATGCGCAAGGCAGAGGAGGAAGAGAAGGCCGCTGTAACTCAGGACGACTCGGACGACGAGCTCGCACGACAGGTACGCGTGGACTTTGTAGTAAATACCATAACTAATATTGACTAACACCGTTCATGTAGAGTGCGAAGCTTTCGCTGTCAGGCAGTGTGGGCAGCACGGGGCAACAAGATGGCACACCGACTAAGCCGCGTAGTACAAGTGAAGAGGATGTAGCAGCAGCCATCTCGGCGTCTCTCCGCGAGTATTAACGTCAAAGTAACCATGTATTCAATTTACTTACAACTTGAAAGTTTGATGACATCAATTGTGCAATTTAACGCACGGGGTTACTAGGGTGCATCATGTTGTAGGCGAGCCAGTACAGTCGACCATAATTGACGTACAGCTCCTCTCCAGGGTGGATGTCTCGCATCGCGACGACGTCGGCTTTGGTATCTTCTGGGCGCTTCACGAAGTGGACATTGAAGCCCCCACGATGTCCTCTGCAGTCGTTGATGTACCGCGCAAGGACCTCGGGGCAGTCCAAGGCGTCCACGTAGACGCCGCCACCCAACTTCATGAGATACGCCTTGTCCTTAAGCTTCCAAGCCTCTTCATTCGGCACCACAACCCCCGAGTACTCGCAGATAATTGAGCCTTGAGCGTGGAACTTTGTGGCAAATAGCCCCATGCCAGCTCCCGGAATGGTCGACGCCCGCACTTCTACGCCATCGTCGTCAAAGGGAAGAAGGTAATACGATCGAGGCACATTCAACTCGTCGTCCATCGATTGTCGGTCCTGCCACGTACGTAGTGTCCCTAACCGGAACACTGTTAGCTGGAGAAACCGGTAATTTAGGAGCGGGTAGGGATCGCGAGGCCGGGGGAACCGGTTTTTCTCCAAATCAAGCAGCAGCAGAATCACCCAAAATACACACAAAATTAAATTACTTTTTCTCCGTTTATTTTAGGATTTCAGCCGTTTAAATTTCGTAAAACTAGGAAGTTTATTTCACGGACCTCTTGAGGTCAAACTAAATTGTAAAGTTTTACTGAGGCCATTCATTTAGCTAAGCGCAGTCTGAACAACTCACTTTTAAATAAGCACACTCAGCTGAAACTGAAACTCCAACTCCTCTCCTTCCCCAACGCCATGTCTGACAACCTTCTTGCCGCGGCCACGCCTCAGCCTACCTTCACCCCACGGCAGATTTGCTCCTTCTTTTTCAAGCCGTGCCTCGACGAAGAAGAGGAGCCGACAGGCTACTATGCGTACAAGACCTGCGGCAAGTGCCGCAAGCATACGCCCAAGACAGGGTACACCAATTTGGTGACCCATGTCCGGACCAAGCTTCCTCACTGCGAGATCGATATGCGCGATGCTACAGTCACTGCAAGTGGGACACTGCTGCAACAGCAATATTGCAACAATTTATTGGGACGTTTGGTTTTACTCAGCTATTTATCTGTCGGTGTAGAAGAATTCTCCCGCGTTATTTATTTCTTCTTCCAGCTTTCAATTCAAATTTATCGGATTTTGGGCATCTGTAGGGATAATTATCGCAACTGACCGTAAATACATCAAACTTTTCCAAGCTGACCGTAAAACATACACATGTCTATAAATGCTGTTTGATTGGTTACATCTGTTGAAGTTCACTAGTAAAAAAAAGATCCTTGGGTCAGAAGCGAGGACGACTCCACATGTACCGCTCCACTACATAGTCGCTCACTCTACAACTATCATGGAACCAGGCAAGGTTAACCTTCAGTCCAAGTACGGGAGGCAGTCAGTAACATTTAGGGATGTATTTCTATCAGCGTCTGACAGTACAGCGTTTCTTCGTGCTTACGCTTTCAACGAGAATAAGTCAATGGGCTTTATTACCACACCACTCACCCCCCACATGCGGATCAAGCAAGGATGTTCAGGTAGCAGTAGATCTTCTAAAGACGCAAAATTTCCTCAGACGCTTGTATCTACGTAACATAGTTGACATAAACAAAATAAATTTTGAGATTACACACTCACTGCTAGAGAAACACTCGTCCACGTACCTGTACGACGGTCCTGCTCCCCCAAAGCGTGGTATTCCTGTGAAGTTGGCTCGCTTTCTCCTCACGTACGGCTTGGTTGCTGCGAGCACAAAGTCAGTTATTCATTCCTGTGACGCTGACTCACCTGCTTCTTACGTACGTCTTAATTTCTTTCTGAGAACCGTCTCGCCGTTTACAATATAAATACTGCAAAACCAGCAACGACAGCTGTCTTTAGTCCACAACACACACGCAAAAGTAAGTGAGATACTCAGTCTGCACATACCCGTCTGCAGAACTTTCGTGGTCTCTGTGTACTCTTCTTGCTACCAATAGATCCGATCTGGCACTGAAGCAGTCTTTTTCTTTTGGATACTTGTTCTTCACCGCGTCCCAGTTGTACATCGAATTTTTTATACTGCGACGTCTCTTTACTTCATGTACAAACGCCGGCTGTGTAAGTTTTACGGTCAGTTTGAAAAACTTTGATGTATTTACGGTCAGTTGCGATAATTACCCCATCTGTAGTGGGTCTCGATACCTCGAACACACACGAGGGAAGCTGACGCTTCCTGTTAACCTTGGTTGTATAGCTTGCTAGCCGGTAGGTTTCAATCTGACAAAACTAAGGGAACTTTATGTATAGAGCTCACTACACTACGTCCTCCTACTTCTATACCAGGCCTCACGTTCTGTGCGGCCCAGTGCAGTGGGCAAGGCTTGGACTCAATTAACCACTACACCGCCCCGTCAAACCTTGGACACTCCAAAACTTGACTTTCATTCTTTGAAAATGTGGCACGAATGCTATCGCAATATGGCACAAAATATGGTGTTTGTGTCATCAATCTGGAGCTTCACTCTGCTACGTCAACTTGAAGTGGTTGCAAATTTTGTTGTCCGTGCGATCTGCTTCGAGAGATCTCTGTCTCCGACACGCTCTACATATGCACGCACCATTACCGGAATATCCTTCCACAGTGACTGCAGTGGCTCCCCCTTTCCACGATATTAAAATATCTAGCTGCGCTTAGCCGTACACCACCGGTGTTCCTTGAGCACATCTACCACCAGTACAATGCCCTGGGACGCGACGTGCGCACGCACTTCCTCAGTCATTTGGTAGCTCTTGTCTGCGTAGTACTTTAACCTAGTAGCATGTACGTCCGTCTCTGCACCCATGATATGTCGGATCACGAACGAATGTACATCAGCTCTGACAATCTGGTAAGGGCCGATCCATGTAGCCAAAAGCTTGTCCTGGTTCTTCTGGATAACCCGTGACCGCAGCACGAAGTCTCCTACGCTTAAGTTGATTTTCTTTGCACCATTCTGTCCTTTTTTGTTGCGTTTCGTTCGCTGGTAGCGCCTTTCTAAGGACACTTGCTCGCAGTTCGCGTAGTTTTTCTTCGATCTTCTCAGGATGCTTAGTCATTTCAAGCACCTTTCTTTGCTCCATGTCCACGCAAAAGTCGGGGGGGGGGGTAATGGCAGAGCACAGAACAGTTCCACAGGTGACTAGTTGGCTAGTGATGGCAGGGGCGTGTGGTTAATGCTAGACCTCAGTAGCGGGACAAACATTGTCCACTCTCGAATGTCGTTTCCATACTCTAGGCTCATTGCCCGTAGAACTTGGATCACGTCACGATTGACCCTTTCGATGCTGATATTGAATCAAGGCTGTACGCCGCCGGAAAGTGCTGATCCGACTTGAGCGTCTTGCAAACCTTGGCCGCCACCTCGTTCTTGAAGTGGCTACCCTGGTCACTGATCCAGATGGGGGAATGCCGAAACGACTATGCCAGTCTAGTATCGCTGAAACATCCACTGCACTTGTAGGTGTAGCTCATGGCATTAACTCGCCGTAGTGCGTCGCATCGTCTTTCAGGATAAGCAGGTATCTGCCACATGAAGGAAAGCCCAGTGCAACGCGCCATTTCGCTCGTAGCAGCGGAACGTCTCACTCCACGGTCGCTGTACCACATTTCCACACTTCACATGATGACACAATTTCCACATGTCCACGTAAATGGTCCACGTAGAAGTGTCGTTGTAGTTGCTCCATCATAGTAGCTCGTCCGCGGTGTCCCCCTGCGCCCCACAATGCGATTCTATCATCAAACGCTGCAGCAAGGTTGTGTCTTTAGTCGGAATCCACAGCTCCCATAGCGGTACCAGCATTTACCCGAACCACACGAGGTAAGGAAATTGTCTGGCACCGTGTCTCGAAAGTGCTCTTGGGATCGTACAATATTCTGCAATGTTGACCACGAAAAGCCCGGGTCATCAAACGGCCGAATTGCTGCCACACTAGCAGCTTCCTGCTGTTCGCCGCCCTTCGTTTTGAGTTTGTCGCGCTTGCGTCGTGCCGCTGGGGTCCTATCTGCCTCCCCGTCACAGCGCTTTTCTCGGGTCTTAGAGGCTCTCTCTTCCTCCCCTCGCCGACGCTTGCTCCGAAGTTGCTGGGTCCTATCTTCCTCCTGACGCCTTCGCTTCCGCAGTACCATTGAACGCAGTGCCACCCGCTCTAAGTGATTATCTGCCCACCAGGAAATCATGTCCGCCTAGACATTGGTTTCTCCTTCGATGCGCTCGATGTGATACTTGTACTCCATTAGTTTCAATGCCCACTGCAGTAACTTCCCCCTAATATGATTCTTGACTTCTTTACCAGACGCAAATACGAATATTAAGCTGCGGTGATCGCAAAACAATTGGAATTCTTGTGGTCACAGGCACAGATTATGAGGTACACCTCTTTCTCGATGACGCTCCAATTACGCTTCGATCCGGTAAACGTGCCGCTCACACATACGAGTACTTCGTGCTGCTGCTCTTCAACAGGTTTTCCTACTTGCCAGTGACGCACTTGCGTGACGATGATTCCAAATCCAAAATATGAGGCGTCCGCTATCAGGCACATGACGGAGTCCGATTGTGGGAACGATAGACTGGCCGAGTTTGCTAATTTGTTCTTCAGTTTCTCGAACGCCATGCGCTCAACGGCATCGAATCGAGGCCAATTTCTGCTGCCACACGTTTCGTTCGTCGGGATGCTGCCGCCAATGCTAGATCTAATCGCTCTTGTAGCGGCAGAGCTGCCCGGCAAAGTCTACCACACTCTCCCTCATCCAATTTGCAGCACACAAAAAAATGTTGAAGCTCAGCTGCGCTGGTCGGGTAAGGAAGCTCTGTCAGCGTATTGATGCGCTCCAAGTCATTTTTGACGCCGTTGCCCGTGGTTATTTTACCACACCACTTGATCTGCGGCTCGTACAGGCTGGACTTGGACACACTTAGTTTGAAGTTAAAAAATGTTAAGCAGCTCAAAAAGCCTTTCCAACTTTGCCAGGCAAGTCACCACGTCTTTAGCGAAAAGAAGCAGGCCATCTATCCATACCAATAGGTGCTGATACATCAGCTCTTGCAGGCACTTCTCAATCGTTGCTTGGAAAAATAAAGCCGCATCTCAGCACCCTTGCTGAACTCCCCTTGGCGTGTAGATCTTCCGGTGAGTCATTGACGACAGCAGCTCCTGACAAGCCTCGTCGACCGCAATCTGTCAGTGGCCCTTAATAAAGTCGAATAGCCCGAAAAACAGGGAGCCACGCACCAATTACAGGCCAACTTGTAAGTTCGGCATCACTCCAGCATACCTTCGACCTGGTGGCTCAGTGGTTTATAATCTGCAGTCTGACGATAGTCATTCAAACCTCCTTTGCGTACGGGTAGCACCGGGCAGGCTCACCTACTGATGGTGTTCTCATAGATCCATCCCAACCCTTCAAGCTTGGCGTTCAAACCCTCCATGAAAGCTTTAACCTCCGGTGAATACTTGCGCGCCTTGCACTTGTAGGACTTGAATCCGCCTTTAGTCTAATCTTCATTGGTGGAACTCGAGCAGGGGGCGTTACCCAACTTGAAAGCCTTAAGAGTTAGTCTAAATACTTTTCAGAAATCCTTTTTGTCCTGCCCTAGCAACCATTTCACTTACGAGCTTGTCCACTTCGTCGCTGAGCTCAGGTGCTGAGCTCACAACGGGTTCATCAAAGTCATCATTTTCATCTTGTTGTCCCTGAGACGCTAACATCTCCAGTTCTCTGTCTACGCCGATAACCAGAGAGGCCAGAATCTCTCTAACCAGGAAAAACTCTTCCAGTTCTCCAGGATCAATCAAACATTACACAGGTGAGTTAATGGATACCGGCCCTGCGGCTGTCTGCAGCGTCACATGTACGTTCACCGCACGGCTCACCTCCACTTCACCACCAACCGTAATGCACGAGATGGGTTTCTCCAACCCCACTCAATTTACACTTGGGCACTCCACCACCATTAACCTCCGAAAACCACGGTCACCTAAACCGGTCCTCGTAGCTCCGCTGTCCGCACAGAACGGAGCACTACACACTCCTTCAAGTAGTACAGTCCCACCTTCAGGAGGTAAGCATTTGCGGATGCGACATAGTCTAGTTGTGCTTTCCTCGCAGGCTGTTGGCTTGCCTCCGTGCTTTGAACTCTGCACATCGCCTTGCTCTAATGGCTTCTTTGTCCGTTTCCGTCGCTGTCGGGCAGTCGATAAACCCTTTCTCTCCACCACAATGAAAGCACCTTTGGGTGGAGGGCCTCTCGTGACTTGGTGCTGCACGCCTTGCTGAAATCCAACCGTCAATTTCTGCTTTGCTTTATTAGGTAAGACACTAGCGACGATCGCGGCTTTCTTGTTGGTAGTAATATTTATGAAGCCTCGAGATCTGAATGGCTTTGAAGGTTTCGGCATCTTTGTCCTCATTTGCATTACTGCCTTGGTCTCTTTCTCTAGTCCCAGCGCTAAATTGCTCACTACCTTGTACAAGCTCTATACACTCGCCTTGTCCTTACCACTGCGATACTCTAGCTCGTTGGCCACCTTTTTCGACAAGGGGTCAGGTAGAAACTTAGTTAATACCTTGCATTTGCGCTTGATTTCATCTTCCTCAGCGAAAGATCAGCCACACTATTCCGCTTGATATCTCGTTGGGCGAGATGGAAGTAGGCTGTTCACTCTAGCCTCGACATCTCAAATCACCTCATTCAGCCTCAATTCATTACCAAACAGATCATCCATGTCCGGCAACTCCTCGTTCATAAAGCTGAAAATTTTCTCCTTGACCTTCTTCGTTAGGAATTAGTTGGTCAAATCGTTGATGTCAGTGTCCCAACGAGTCTCACACATGATTTTAAGCAAGTCCTCGTTGAGAAAAATCATGTAATGTGCGTAGCAGGGACTTCACACCCTCGCTAGCCGCTCGGCACCGCGCTTCAGTAACCGCTATGTACTCCTTTCTCAGTCTGATCCACTGTAACAACGACTCGCGCGAGATGTCGTCGATCAACGGCGCGTTCACGATCACGAAGATTAGCTGCGGCACACGCGGGACCATCACCGGTACGACTGTCACTTGCGCCACGTCGTCTGCGCCATGAAGGGCCGCGCTCTCGTTGATCACATGCTGATTCTTCGTCATGTCGGCTTGCTCACAGTTACGACCTTCGCAACTAAATATATATTTTGTAGTGGGTCTTGACAACGCGAACACACACGAGGGAAGCTGGCGCTTCCTGTTAACCTTGGTTGTATTACTTGCTAGCCGGTAGGTTTCAATCTGACTAAGCTAAGGGAAATTTATGTATAGAGCTCACTACACTACGCCCTCGTATTTCTATGCCAGCTTGGCCTCACGTTCGGTACGGCCCAGTGCAGTGGACAAGACTTGGACTCAACCAACCATGTTGCTTGCTGTCGACGCACTGTCGTCAAAAGCAAGCACGTTGGCCTTTAGAAACCAACGCGATAGCAGTTAAGAAACCACTAGAAACCCCTAGAAAAAGCAGCTAGATAATTCAATTCACTTCATATTTTCACTTCAAGTCAACAGAGGGAACAAAGAATTCATTAGCTCCTTTCGGAGAGTTATGGAGCAAGACCTGGGCGATGAAGCGATGGTCAACCCATCTGACCTCGCTGAGATGTCAATTCTGAGTGGGGAAGACATCAGGGTGACGCAGGAAACGACGACGACAATGGCCGTCCAGAGAAGCGTCGCCGACCAGCACGACACAAGACGCCAGATTGATCAACTGGCGCATTGTTCGGCAGCCGCCCATTAGAGCAAATTAGCCAAGTACAGCAGCATCAGGACGTAATCGCGTCCAAGACGGCCGAATACTTGCAACAGCAACATGACAGACAGCTGGAGTTGCAGGAGCAGCAAGAACAGTTTCGCCGTCAAATGGCTGAGCAGAGAAAGCAAATCGAGGAACAGCTACGACTCCTTAAGGCTGCAGAGGCAGCTGTTGGAGAGCAAGGACAGCGGCTACAGAGTCTAGCCGAAGCAGTTCGTCCGCACGTGGAAGCTCGGTGGGGGCTTTTCGCTCAGACCCCAATGGCTGTGTCCGGCGGAAGGAATGATGAAGACCGGAACTGTCCGGACAGGACCCCGACAGTGACGTTAGCAACTGGTGCAAATATGCCAGTGCCACCCCTGTATAGGGGAAGTTCAAAGAAAGAGAAACGAGATTTCATGGATAGCTACATGGTATATAAACGACGGATCGATGCTTTGAACCAAGGGACGCAAACTTAGGTTTTCGTCATGCCAATCGGAGCTTGCATAGAACAGAGCACGTTAGTGAGAATTTGCCGCTTCGAACTGTTCAAGCAGGAAACCCAAGTCACGGAAGATGACTGGAAAAACTACTTTCTAGACGCTCGAAATCCGGATTACACAGCGTACCAGCGGCTGGACATCGAGATGCGCAAGTTAGCTATGGATGTGAACTTGCTGGACGCAGAGTCGAGAATGTCTCGTTTACTCGCCGATTTTTACAAGGCTGTGGATGGGGTCAACATGGAGAGCATTATCCATGAAGATCCTAAGCGAGTCGTGGGGTATCTTGTCGATGCATTGCGCCCTGGAGTTTTTCGTTCAGCTATCAAGGATAATCTCGATCGCCCTGCTGGGAAACATGTAAAAAAGGACGTGTCAGAATTTCTGCGCTGGTTAAAGCCTCAAGTTGAGGAGTTCATGAAGTTCGAAACTCACATCCCGAGTAATCGATTAGACAACAGCAGCTCTAGCCAACAGCAGCAGCGGGGTAAACCTTCCCGTAAATGGACTGGAAAGCAAGAGAACGCATTTAGTGACGGTACGAACAAAAGTGCGGCAACCTCGTCGCAAGCCGAAACTGCTGCCAGCAAGAGCCGAGCTGATTAAGGTGATCGCAAGAACAAAGGGACCAGTAGTGGCGTGTCTCGCCACGTGCGCTCCTGCTTTAAATGCAGCGATTTTACTCACTCGGTATTCCAGTGTCCGCAGGTCACTGATTTTGCCGAGGCAAAGCAGCTATATGAGGCGAAAACAGGCAAGAAAGCTCGGCCAGAGAAGATCGTGGGTATCGCGCGGCTGCAGGATTCCACTCACTCATCGCTAAGTAGGACGCTGACATGTCGAGTGATGGACAGTGTTGATACGATGATCAAGCCTGATAGCGGCGCTGAAGTTAGCATGATAGCGCCGTGCCTTGTGGAAAAACTCAAAGCAAATCAAGTGTGGTTGCCACGAAGGAACTTGAGCCGTCCACAGGTTGTAAAGGGGGTTGGTCCTACACCTATCACAATTACAGAAGAAACGAATTTGTTTTTGCGGTTCGAGACGCCTGGCGGTCCGCTGGTTTTGAGGAATGTGAGCTGTTTGATCTCCCCGGACCCGTTGCCAGATCGTGTTGGAGATATCTTACTGTCTGATTCGGTAATGGAACGTTTGGGCTACGATCCGCTAAAACTGATTGAGTCTGCCCGGAGGGTCCAGCCTGAATACGATCTCAGCGATTTGGGTGCGACCGACGGTGACGCAGATGTATTCGCTTTCGGAATACAAAAGGCGGATTTAACGCCTGAAGAAAAAGGGCTGAGTGAAGCCGAGGATGCTGAGTGTTTTCCTGTGCCACATGCGGCGAATTCAGACGCTGAAAAGGTCAAGGCAGCGCTAAGAGAGGGCATGGAGGATGCTAAATCTAAGGGCGCGTCTCCTGAGTTTCTGGAGGAGGTGTAGAAGCTGTTAGAGGATCATATCGACGTGTTTCGTATGGCACTGGGTGGTGATCCACCTGTCGATATGCCACCAATGCGTATCAAGCTCAAGCCCGGAGCGACGCCAGTACGATGTCGCTCACGACGATATTCAGCAGCTCACCGTGAGTTTCTCGCTCGCCACGTGAAAATGCTGATCGATGCCGGCCTTTGTTACAGGAATCCATCCAGTGAATGGTGTTCACCACCCCATGTAGTGCCAAAAGACGACGATCACCGGATGACAGTCGACGTTCGGGAAGCGAACAAGCGTGTTGTACCAGTAGTTTGGCCGATGCCCATACTGGAAGTCGAATTTGATCGACTAAAGGGCTGCAAGTTTTATTTTTCCGTGGATTTTTTTAAAGGTTTCTGGCAGTTTGGTGTTGCGAGCGATTGCCGGGAAATTTACTCGATTCTCACGGAAATGGGAGTGATAACTCCTACTCGTGTCCTCATGGGGGGAACGAACAGTGTGGCGTACGTACAGTCCACGGTGCAAGCCATGTTCGGGGATCTATTTAATAATGGCCTTCTTATCTGGATTGACGACCTTCTCGGTTACGCAGATTCGCCGGACAAACTGTTGGAGATATTGCGGAAAGTGCTTACTATTTGTGCTAAAAAAGGTCTGAAGCTAAATCCCAAGAAATGCAAGTTTTTCATGACTGAGGCGCTCTGGTGCGGCCGTGTGGTCTCAAGCGATGGTGTCCGGCATGACCCAGCACGAATCCTGGCTTGCGTAATCTACCTGCGCCGACAACGGGCCAAGAATTGCAACAGTTTATTTGCGCGCTCAATTGGATGCGCATGTCAATCCCAGCCTTTAACAAACTGGTCAACCCACTGGTAGTGTTCATGGAAAAAGTGTACGCTGCCGCTGGTGGTCGGAAAAAGTCGATGGTGCGACGAGTGGTGTTAAAGGATGTGGGCTGGTCTAACGAAGAAATTGCTGGATTACAACACTGCAAAGATGCGCT